TGTTTTCATCGTTTTCTGACAGGTTTTTGGAGATGGCAATGATTGTGTTTTTGTCCATTTTCAGACAGTCTCCTTAAAAAACGTGTGTGATGTGCTCGGTTGTTTTCACCAACAGTGACAGAAGCAGGTGTGTGAAGACTGAGTGAAATGAGAGAGAGAGAGAGAGAGAGAGAGATAAGTCACACGCCTGGACAATCACCGTCGGATTGTCTGATCTGTGAATGAATGTCTGGGCAGGAAACAGCACAGACAGACAGACATTAAGACTCCCATCATGCCGTTCTGCAGAGGTTTTTTTTTTATTAGATTATGCCGGCAGACTGAGAGAAAAGAGCCCAGGTTATGTCTGGGCCACAGGGGAGGATTCTGGGAAGAGGACATTGTTACTGATGCTCATCCCATTCGTCTGAAGCCTTTTGTTTAACTGATGGAAGAATTTCAATCCATTTTGGTGATTTAGACAAAGTCAAGAAATCCTTCACTAAAGTAAAGTTGATTTCTGATCTGCAGCATCATACACGACTTAATTTCAATTTATTTTTATTTTAAATATTAAATTAAAATGTTTTATTAAAATATTACTGACCTCCCATAAAAAAAAAACAACAAAACAATCCCATGCCGTTTGTGCAAAGCAGTTCATTACGACCAACAGTGACGTTTTATTGTCAGGTGACCTGTAGAAGTCAAGCTAATGTTTAGATTCAAGTGGCAGCGCCCTCTAGTGGCCACAGTAATCATGGCCGGAGCGAACCAGGATGTCAGGTGATGTTACAGAGTCTCAAAGTCCATGTAGGGAGCAGGTTGAGTTGGACTGTTACACAGGTGATCGCTGTTTGTTTCCATGACCATGATCTTAACCATGTGTTTATTATTGTAACCATGACGACAAATGTCATATAACCTTAATTAAGTATTTATCTCAAATCAAACCAAACCATGATCTTTCCCTTAACCTAACCAAACTGTTACCTCAGCACTGTTGCATCATTAAAGGTTTTTCAACAGTTTATCTGTGGTATATCTCGTGTCACCAGTGGGGGTGCAGCACCTATCAGGTGTACAGGAAACAAACCTAAGAGACCTATAGGAACAAACCGTGGTCATTTGAGTTGGAGGATTTGGTGGATGCTTTACTGATGGTCGTTTGTCAAAGAAAGAAACAGGTTGTCTCATTTACTGCAGGTCCTTTAAAGCTGCGATGAGGAACAGGTGCCCTGCTCATGGGCACATAGACAGTGATTGATAAGGGTGCAGAGGCTACTTTAAGATTCTCTGATGAACAGTTTCTTAAGTGGAAAGTAATTGAAAAGGTGAAATTCAGGCGTTGATTGCATCATAACTGTTGTTGGTGCTGTTGTGTCCGTGGGTTCACCTGATGTGTCGTGTTGCTGCTCCGTGGTCAGTTTGGGTGACACCACAGGAGAGGTGAGGTTGGACAGCCCAGTGTCTGTTGCCATCTAGTGGTGACATCAGTGAACTACATTAATATGCAGTACATCGTTCACATTGTTTAGCTCACCTTTCTGATAAATGATGGATCATTTTTTCAAACCTGAGCCTCAGACAGTTATTTAAATGTGATGCTAACAAATCACACTCACACTCACATGACAAGGGGTCTCAAGTAGACGTTGCTTTTTTGCAGGTGTCACAAGCCAAAAAGTTTTATGTTTTATATTTTTCAAATGTGAAATCTTAATATGGGACATCTGTGAATGTGTGACAGCACCTTTAATTCGTCACACTATACTCAGAACCACAGTATGTCACTTTACTGTCTTTGTACTTCTGTTATCTGTTCTTACTGTGTAGGAAAGGTATGTCATTACTCTGTGTATTGAATATTGTAGGTGGAGGGAATGACAATCTTGTTTATCTTGAATCTTAATCTGAAAATGAATGAATCTACACCACTGCTTTAAAAATGATATCACTTATTAGATTATACAGATGTTGTTCTTTTAAACTTATAAACTAACCACAAAAACTAAAATACTGCAATATTGTTTAATTTTCAGTATCATTTATTATCTTGTATTCCTCAACAGGAGCAGAAAATAGACCTGAATGTGATTTTCAGGCTTATATAATATTTCTCTAACAGTCAGTTGTTGAAGTAACTGTGAAAAATGTAGGAATCCTCAGCAGAGTCTGATGCAGAAGAGACAGACTGAAGGAAAATAAAGGAGGAAAATGTTCAAACCTGACAGAATTACTGACGGAGAACTGGAGGAGATTTAAGAAAAAAAACATCTGCTCCACAGCAAATTTACAAACCTGAGAAACACCTGAACAAGACGAGGACGACAGCAGATGATGATCATCAAATCTATTTCAGGAAATCTGCTGCCTCAGAAACCAACAACAACAACCCCCTCCCCCCTCTACCCCTCTACCCCTCACCATCTGTTAACATTAAGATAATCACTGTGGTCTGTCTCCCACAGGTGTATGAAACCAGATAAAATGAGTTGAAACTCTATTGATTCAGAAGGAAAAAAGCCACAGCCACAGTGTGGGGCCTTCTGTTCTGCTTTAGACTCAACCTTAAATACTGAATCATTTCCTCCTGTATTTATGTCTCTGTTCTGACTCTTGCCTTCCCTCAGCATATATTGACATTTTGTTTTGTAAGACTAAGAATCTACAGCCTCGCTAGCAGCTCTGAGACTGAGCTCTTAGCCACGGCAATGTTTCAAAACTTAATGCTAACGTCAGCATGCTAACAGGCTCACAATGACAATGCTAACGTGCTGACGATTAGAAGGCGTAATCTTTGCCATTTTCACTATGTCAAGTTTAGCAAGTTAGCATGCTAACATCTGCTACTTAGCACCAAACACTATGTTAAGCTACCATTGATGCCTATTCGACAAATTGAAACTTTGACCTGAATATGATGAAAAGTCAGGGGATCATCAAAGTTATTTTTAAATTAATATTTAGGGCAACATGAGCGTTAGTACTTCCAAATGTCATGGCAACCCATCCAACAGTTGTTGAGATATTTCGTTCAAAACCAGATCAGAACTCGGTGACCCCTCAGATTTATGTGTTGTCCCAGTATATAAAACTGTATATAAAATAGTTCATATTAATGGTGTCATATATCAGTCATACAGACCAAACAAGTACTTTTATTTTAATACTTCTGCAGCTTTTTTACATTACTGTGTTGGTATTTTTGCTTAAGTAAAAGATCTGAATACTTCTTCCACCACTGGATTCATCCTCTGGAGACCATGAGTGTTTGTATCACATTTCTAATTGCAATGAATCTTGTAGTTGTTGAGGTATTGCAGTCTGTTGGACAGACTTACTGGCAGACGTTGTCTAAATATACCTTACTATAGTGGTCAACTTTTCATGAAATGTCCAGATCCAGTTCCTGCTCTCCAGAGGATGAAGCCTTTAAATTTTGAAGGCCCTGTGATTTTTCATGTGGTGTCACATCCAAGACAAACTTCAACTGTCCAACACTTTCAGATTGTGGTTGTAATGAACACTGCAGCCTCCGGCAACAGTAGCAGGATTTCAGTGTTACAATATAGGTTCTGTGATATTTGTGAATGGTCCTTTAACTCCTCCTGTTTGGCCTCTGCTCAGTGTTTCATAGAGAAGAGTATAGAAGCAGCTGGTCTACAGATTAGCTTTAGTGTTAATGCTACTGACGGGCTTTAACGCTGCAGCATGCGGGCGGGACCTGCGGGACGCCAACCTCCACTGCCTTCTGTCCATCTGCCACCAATGCCATCACAACCCTCATCCTCATTTGATTTGCTTTGATAAAGGATCTTAAGTTAATTAAAGTTAATTTGTTATGACAGAGCAGCCTGCATGTACATGTCTTGTAGTTCCATGTTGGGGTGGGACATAACATAAGGAGGAATTTGTTTGAAAGTGTAAACAAATGGGATTTAATGAAAGGAGAGAAGTATCGAGTCATTTGATGGGGAGAGCCAGAAGATTGGGAATGTTCAAAAACATAAGCGTTACAAAAACATTTAAACTTTAAAGATTACAAGACAAACACTAGAATTAAAGATAAGGGACATTAAATTGTGAATTAGCAATTAAACATGCATCATAGAAGAATTAGAAGAAACTTCACATACTCGTGTTAAATTTACAGGGTTATGGTGAATTAGTTTCCATTTCAAACTATTAATTGAATGTATTAATTCAGCCAATAGTAATAGTCAACATTTAATGCAAGAAATATCAATTTGTACAGATAGATAAAACAAACTTTAATTACAAGCTGTTTGGAGGCTCCTCCCTATTTTGAGGGCCTTGGATACCTCTAAACAAGCCCAAACCTGGGTCATTAGAATACTGAAAAACCATACAGTCTAAAATATGATTTTAGGATTTTATTTCGTATAGATTTTGGGCAATTTATGACGATTATAATGATGGTTCTTCTATTTCATTCAGTCAAGGGGAAACAGCCTACTTTTTGTTTTTTGTTTACCTTAGGTATTTATTTAATACAATTTTTTATTTAATTTTCTGTAACAAATTACTTTATTTCTATAGAAATGTGGTGTTATTGTTATTAGTTTTGGTGAAATATCTGAATATTTTATTATTTTCCCTAACAAAGCCATCATATACTCAAAACATCCATCATTTTATAAATTATTTACATTTTATATATGGCTCCTCCCCTCTCTGCGTCACACTCCCATCCCGTTCCACGCGCTCCTCCCTTTCCCTCCGCAGAGCTGGAGCTGCATTCCTGCTGCCACATCGGACCGAACCATTTTGTCTTAGCAACGACATTTTAGCCTCGCCGCGAACCAAAAATACACATTCATCGCAGCTTTAACGTAAAGATTAATGTTAAATAATTTCGTTATACCTGTCTGGTCGCCAACTTCATAATGTTATCCACGGTACAGCGAATAATTATAGTTTGTCCAAAGCAACACCCCCCTCTCATCCCTTTTTAAAGTGGTCTGCTCCGTCTTGCTGCCATGTTGGATGTACGCATCGCCGCTGCAGCTGCTGGAGTTTCCGAATGAAAGTTGAGCGTTTATCTGTCTACAGACAGATAACGTATCCTTAATTTTACAGTTAACATTAAACGGAGGAGTTCAGATTCTTTCTTAAGCGGGACCAAGTCAGGGAAAACACTCCCCGTCCTCCTCCTCCGCCCTCCAGCCCGGAGTCGGACTCAGCGGAGATGATCCGGTTGCAGGCCACAGCAACCGGAGCCCGCATGGATTTTCTGTAATCAGCAGAGTTTGCAGAGCCCGTCCGGGGATAACCGCATCGTTTCGGGGTTAACTAGAAGAATTCGGAGCCATGAACAGCCACCCGCCGCCCCGCAGGGTCGCTAACGTCGGCTCCCTCCTCCTGACCCCGCAGGAGAACGAGTGCCTGTTCGGCTACCTGGGCAGGAAATGCGCCGTAAGTTCCCCCCGTTTGTTTATCACCTGCATGTTCAAGAAAAGGCGCAGGTACATTCACCCACACAAAATATAAAAATGCCAGCCTGTGCTTTTTCCTACACTTTACCTGTTTAAGATAATATGAAGCAGCAGAATCATGATTAGACACCTCGGGGGCTTTCAAACCGGTGCTACAATGAAATCTGTGACCCTTTGGACTCTTTGACGTTTTAACTGTTTACACATATTTTGATAGCCGTTAAAAAAACATGGCGACACCGTCTTCATCTGGTTTGTCCGTCAGATTCTTTTAAATAACTGCACGTTAAAGGTACAATCAGTGATGCAGGTGTAAACAGTTCATGAGCTTCTACCTCAAAACTTTGAAGCTGCTTTCAATCTACATGTGATTTTTACAGGTTTTTAAATAGGGAGACTAACAATAACAACAATACACACGAAGTAAATCCAAACATATTAATTACAGTAACACTTGTTAAAATATTTAAATGCTATTCAGGCACCAGAAGTCCAAAGTTACCAGTTTCTATTTTTGTTGAAGGTTTGTTTACATCACTAACGTGTGTTGCTTAGTAATGCTAACTTTCCCGAACGGGAAATGATCATTTGTTATCCACACATCAACAAAACATTAATTCAAATATTCATTTAAATATTTGCTGGATTTTGGCTCTTGGCCAGGCTAAACAAACGATGTGTGAATATGTTAACTTGAGGTTTAAGAAATTGCTAGGCCATTTGTCACTATTTACTGACAAACAACTTGATTATAAATCATAATATATATAAATTATAATATATATATTTATATTTATAGTTATTTATTTATTTCGGTTCTACTTGATTAATTGACACTAAAAATAATTCCTAGTCCAAACTGATGGCCCCTAGTGTGAAGTCTGACTGTAACCACAGTTTATCTGTGGTAACACCTGGAACAGCAGGAGTCCTAGGAAGGCTGCAGGTGGCACACCGGACATGTCAGGCTGTGTTATTAAACTTCATAATGTTGGGTTTGTTTTTATGTGGTTAGAAGTTGGCATGGTGACAGGATGGATAACAGGTTGGGTTATTGTCACCAAGTCTGTGAAGATGCTGAAGATGCTTGAGGCTTTTTTTTTTTAAATCAAATATTAAACCTCTTCAGAAAATGTAAACTTTGTAGCACAACACAACATCTGGCTCCAAGTATTAAATAGGCTCCATTTAGTCTAAAAATAGTAATGCCTTCTTTGTAGCCACTTTTCCTTGACTTGATTGAAAACATCATGAGGTTAAGTCATTTCCAGTTATAAATCCCCAAATGTTTGCGTCATCTGAAAAACTGGTGCAGGGGCGAGGAATTGTTGGGTGGTGGGAGGATGGTTGTTTGTCCTCTGACATATGGAGACAGGAAGCTGTTATCAGTGATGCCACTTGGACACTTCAGGGCCACTTCACGTAGCTAAAAACCAGAAACCTGACATGAGCATCTGAACATAGTTTTATCCTTGCAGCACTTCTACTACCTATAAAAACCCTCTTGGATAAGGACAAAAACTCATAAAATGTGAGCCTGTGGTTTCATCTGATGTAATGTGGTGCTTTGCAGACAAGCTCAGCAGGTTTTAATGTCAGCTGCTGCAGGTTTCAGAGGTGAACTGGAGCAGAGCCTGCAGGCTTGACTACAAGAAGCAGCTGCGTGCACGCAAAGTAAAACACCTGAGCTCAGAGGAGACCGGTTAGGTAGAGGAGGTTGCACTGACCAGTAGGGCTGTGTGGTAAAGCTGAATACTGTTTGGTACTGACTGAAATGTCTCTGCAGCACCAGGTATCAAAAAATGTCATGTGCACATGTTTCAGAAAACTTAAATTAAACCAGTGAAGAAGGAAAAAAAGAGCATTAAAATTATTCACTGAAACTGCCTTCTTTTATATCGTAAACAAAATATGCGACATTGCAGCTGGGACTAACCCTAGCTGTTACAGGATAATTGGTGTGTAATTTAACTCCACTATTGTTTGAGTCACTAGAGTAAGTGTCGATTAAAGACCAGCATTAAGAGAACTTGTATTTCAGACTCGACCTCCTCCTCCTCCACACACAGATGGAGGGTTGTACTCGGAGGGGTATTTCCCGAAGCAGGATTAGAAAGTTAGACAGATATCTATGATGATATTAAAGCTAAATCTTCTGATAGAGATTGAAATCTCAGAATAAAAAAAGGGTTATTACATCTGGTATTAGGGTTCAGTTACGCAAGGTGATGGTTTCTTAAATGGAAAAAAACATAATTTCAGAGAATATCAGATATATAATCTTCCTAAAGTTATGTGGCTAATTTGCTAATCCAGATTTGTGGAGTGCCCCTCTGCACTTTAGATGGCTCAGTGGTGGATTTATCTGAACGCTGAGTGAATACAAAGTTTGCCGTTTTCATCCTTTCATCCAGGGCATTTGGGAGGTTGCACCACTGTTGCACCTGCCTTTACCAACCAAACAAAACCTTTCAACTGGATCTTGTGAAGTCCTTCGACAGAAACGGTGAAGCGATTCCTGTAGAGCTGATTGGTTAGTTTTTGTCACATGACCTGCAGTGCACTTGCTGCATTCGAAAAAAGATGATACACCTGAAAAAACAGGAGCATGTCTCCATAGAAACTACTGAATTTGCACATGCAAAAGACAATACACCTGAACAGCCCCTAAAAGCTAGTATTTCAGTTTCATGATCCATGTTTTAGGTCCCAAAATTCTGTAGATTTTACCACTTTTTATGCAGTTTGTCTCACAGTCTGAGGCAGAAATAAAACATGTTAAACATCTTGTAGCATCGACCACATACTGTATTACAGCAGGCCTAGTGTTTAGTCTGTTAACTGCAGTGCATCTTCCAACATGCTGCACTTTAGAGCTGCACCATTCACCTGATGTGGGTCAACAAAGTTCACTGCTGCATTAAACAGCAACTAAACTAAAGGCAACTAAATGTTGATTCTGATGGTTGAACGATCTTCAGCGAGTTAAAAGTGTCTGGAAGCCGATTTTTTATATTTTTAGAAATAGGAATTCAAACGAAAGCTGCAACTAATTATCATTGTCATCATTAATCAATCTGGTAAGTTTTGTTTAATCAGAGTTTCCAGTGTTCAAGATGACATGTTCAGATCTTGTTTTTTGTCTGATTAACAGTCCAAAAGCTAAAATAAAGTAATAAAGTATAAGTATAGAAGATGGTAATAAAAAACTGCCATTACAGTTTCCCACGGCGATGGATTTAAATAGTTTTTTTGTCCTAAAACCAAAGATATTCAGTTCATTGGAGAAGCTGCAGCCTGAGAACTACTGATGATTTGTTTTGATTGATGAATTAAACGAATCATCTTTTCCCCAAATTAATTCTCTGTTGCGTGACTAATGGATTATTTGATTTAGGACGAAATGGCTGCCTCGAGGGGAAAAACTAAAAACTGATGACTGATCTGGAAAAGAGGCAGAAATGTTGTTATTGTTGTAAGTTCGGTGCTGAGGTGTTAGCTGCTGTAACCTGCAGAGAGCCTGTTGGTCTGCAGTGCCTCAGTCTGTCTTTATTGCTGCATACTTTCCCTCGGTGAGAATTTACAGAGCCTAAATGAGGCTTTTAACAGGTGACCTTTGACCTTTCCTGTGTGATGCTGAGCGGTGATTTCATGGTGAAAAGTGTTTCCTGCTGCTCCTCTGACCTGCGCTCATAAATCACAGAGGAGGAAACCGGCCCAGCGGCATTTCCTCTCCTCTCCCCTCAGCGGAGGAGAGTAACTCCAGCCGCTGAGGGAGAAATCCTGGCAGAGGATTTAACGCAGCGTGACCTCTGCAGAAACCTCGAAACCACAACCCAGAGCGATCTGAGGACGGGACAGTGCTGAGGACAGCAGCTGGACTCTGCTTCCTGTCCTGCAGAAGTGAAGGTTAAACCCTGTGGAGAAATGTCAGATACACTGGATTTCACATCAAACAACAACTGTGAGGTTGAAGATGTTCACATTCACCCTGGAGGGACAGTCGAAGACTCGCGACCCAGTTTACACACAGGCCTCCGGTTGCAGGACGGTGCAGGGCGACGGAGATCTGTCAGACTGTCATGCAGACGGGGCCAAACAATGAAGTGTTTTTGGTGGCACAAGTCAGTCACATGACCTCAGTTGATCTGGCAGTGTGTGTTACAGCTGAAGACCAAACTGAAGGCAAAACAAGAAGGAAGTGAAGTTCAGGCCTGACGGAGCACGAACAGGGAAGAGACGCATACTTTTGGTGTGGGTCTGTTTTTCCTTATTCAGGCCCCTTAGTTCCAGTGGAGGGAAATTTTAATGCTGCAGCACACAGTGATGATTGTGGTAACAAGGTCTGCCCCTAAAATATAGATAATTCTTATAATAATTTAAACCTCGTGTTGTTGAATCATCTCTCCTCTTTCAGCGGTTTGGTTCCAGGGCTCCACTTTGGTCCAGACTGCATCTCAACAACAGCTGTTGATTGGTTACCATGAAATTTTATACACATTCTAAGGTATCAGAAAAACTGACTGGTCACCTGGCAGTGAAATATTTAAACTTATAACAGATGGATTGGCACAAACTTGAGACTTTCATGGTCCCCTGACAATCTGTGTTAAAACAGAGCTGTGTTGTTGAGGGCGTGTTATTTAAGGTAAATAAAGGTGTTTAAAGGCGTATAATAGACACACATGATATTACAACTCAGGAAAGTTGTCATGGTGGCAATTATTTCCTCTTTCATCACAACAATCACAAGGTAAACAGTAAAAATACAGTTTCATGTTACAGTCATCTACTTATAATGTGCACTTGCATGTATGTGATTGGTCAATGCAGCATCTTGCCAGATTTCTGCAGGGCAGCCCTGTTTTCTCCTCCCTGCTTGCACAGACGAAACTGGACTTCATTCATATAAATGAGAGGGCTGCGTTTCTGCACTCAGGGCTCACTTCAGTCTGAACACAGCCTTGGGGGGGGTCACCCTGTTTCACCTCCCTCCTTTCTGCTCGCTGCTCCGATGCTCTCGGCTGTGGTGCTGAATGTTCATGAGGTCTGCAGAGCTACTGGTGAAACCAGATGTTGGCACTGCTTCATCCGGAGAGATGCTCGGCAGTGTGGTTGAGACTATGAAGGCAGAGAGATGCTCAGAAAGAACCAGTCTGTACCGTGCGCCCGTGACTATGTCAGATGTGTTTCAACCTGTTCCTGATGATGTCACTGGAAGGCTGGGTAAGAAGCCCGCCGTCACAGAGAGAGAGAAGATGTGATGTGAGCATCGCGTTCTCAAAGATACTCATCACATTCTTACATGAGAAGTGACAGAAGTAGCTGTGTGTGTGTGTGTGTGTGTGTGTGTGTGTGTGTGTGTGTGTGTGTGTGTGTGTGAGAAAAGAGAGCTTGAAAGACGAGTTCAAACCCTGCTTGCTTTCTCACCTCGGGACACCAGGCTCGCCACTTTTTAATGTCACAAAAGTGATGAGGGAGGATGCGTCAGATGCTGTTTGACCATCCAACAAGCTCTTCAGTTGGAGTCGACTGAGGCCTTAAAAGTCAGGATAGCTCGGCCTCTACTGCTTTGAATTTTACTTTTGCTGCTCTTCACCTGAATGTAAAAGCACTTTGATATAGTTGTTTTGTTATTTTAATGTGCTGGAGTCCAAAGCCAAGCAAAAGAATTAATCCATGTTTTTCTGCACATTTGAGGATCCACTGTTAAGATATTTGCATCTCTGACTCGTAATCCGATTTCATATTTTGCATAATGTTGAGTTTTGCATCACGCAGGTTTCTACTTCCTGCTCTGTTGCTGCTCTGTCACACATGTGCAGCTTTGAGGCTTTTAACAAGGCACCAGATGTGTGTGTGTGTGAGAAGTGTGTGTGAGAAGTGTGTGTGTGAGAAATCTGGACACATAATGAAGGGAGATCACAGCCAGGCGGTTAAAATTCCCCTGACTGTGCAACTTCACCACTCCTGCATTTTTTTTTTTTTTTTTTTTAATGAGGTATGCAGATGTGATAATCACCGTCCTGTCCTCTGTGTGTTCAGACTCTGTGTTCGGCGGTGGTCCAGGTGTACGGGGCCGAGCGGAGCGCCTGCTGGGCGAAGAGATGCTGCGGAGTGGCCTGTCTGGTCAAAGACAACCCGCAGAGATCCTACTTCATCAGAGTGTTTGACATCAAGGTGAGTGAGGCCGGTCTGTAAAGCTTTAACTCAGTGGTTTCTCACACATGTAGCACACAGCAGGAGCTCGTCCATGTCAGACACTTACTGGAAATACTTCGTTTGGCTGAGGCGAGGGGGGCGGAGCCTGGGTACAGTGTGCAGGAAGCAGGATAGAAACATCATCGACACTCCCACTCGCTCACTATGGATTCTCCGGACAATGACCGGCTCTATTCACACATCGGCTCAGTCAGACATTACACAGACTTTGTACTCGGGAGCTGGCAGGGTAACGTCTGGAGTTCAGCGTTGCGGTACAAATATGAGAGTGGTATCAATTTTCCCATCTAAACTCCACCACAAAGCAACAAAGCATATTTCCGTAAATGTTGAGCTCGTGCTGACGAACATTTCCATGATAGTTGTCCACATTGTTCTGTTCCCTCTTTGTCTTTGTCCTCCACAGTGTGTGGCTAGACTGAGTCCACACACTGCAGGCAGTCATTGAAGAAATTAATACGCTGCTTTTAAAGACGAAGTGCAATCAATGGTTCAAACCGTAATGGATCAAAGTGAATTAGCAGCCACTGATGTGTGTTTACTGTCTAGTGTTTCCCACTGGTGGAGAATTTAGTTGTGGTGGTGGGTGGCATGGCGTGTGATTGATGTGCATGCAGAGACTCATGCAGTTTAGATTGGGAGCGTGTAATCAGGTTATTATCTGTAGCCACAGTTCACAGATATCCCCTAAATGCCTCACATGCAGGTTTTTGGTGGATGCTGCAGTTTACTGATGTTCCCTAAATGCCTCACATGCAGGTTTTTAGTGGATGCTGCAGTTTACTGATGACCCCTAAATGCCTCACATGCAGGCTATCCGTAGACACTACTTTTTAACAATGTGCCCTAAACGTTTCACATGCAGACTGGTAGACGTTACATTTTAATGATGTTCCTAAACGCCTCACATGCAGGCTTTTGGTAGATGCTACAGTTTACTGATGACCCCTAAATGCCTCACATGCAGGCTTTTGGTAGATGCTAGCTAGGCGCCAGTGTGTGGCCAAAAGTGAGGAATGAAATAATCCTGAATCCATTTGGATATTTCAGTGTCTGAACATAGAACTGGTTTCAAGTCATTTCAATCAACCTACAGGAACTAAAACATGATGCAGATCCACGACACTTTATTGTGGATCTTTGGGGTGCTGTGTGACCGCAGGGGTCTCCTTGGTGGTGCATTCATGCACATCTTACATCCAGTAATTTAAATTCTTCTACTAAACCTATATCACCGTTAATGAAAACCAGATTAACCATCAGAAAACATGGATGTTGTGAAAAAGAAAATGAAACTTGGTTGTTTCTCGCATTAAAAGCAGCCGAGTCTTCTTCTCACATATCAGAGTATTGATTTTCACAGAAATAAACTGAGAGCAATGACTGTCTGGAAGGAGGGAAAGCTAATTGCGAGGGGTGGATTTCTGTTCATTTGTTTCCTCTAAAGCTCAGGAAGAATCTGCTCTGACTTTTCTTTCCCTGTCTTTTCTTTTTTGCAGGAAGGGAAAACCATGTTCGAGCAGGAACTGTATCACAACTTCTCCATCAGCAGCTCCAGATCCTACTTCATCTCGTTTGCAGGAGACGTATGTGTGCAGCTGTTTTATGATTACCTCAAACCCCCCCCCACTCCAAAAAAAAAAAAAAGCAGCTGGTCTGGCTCCACCTCTGTTTTAATAAAGTGTGATAATAGCTGGATGTGTTAACGCACAGTCAAATATTCACATCAGGGTCGGCTCACGCTGCCGCAGACACTAATGCAAAGCAGCCGCAGGCTCCAGGATGTTTCTGCTGTTTTTAAAAAAGCTGCTGCTGTTTGAGCCGCTGAACGTTACAGGACCAGTCTGTTTAAACAGTAGCTGAACTAAGCAGTGTGTTGGGTAGAAACTAAAACCCACAAACATCAGTGTGGGCAGCGTTTTATCTGCATTAAATCAATTTATGGTGCGACCGTGTTCTTAAGCTGAGGATTTTAGACTTTTATTTTGTTGGAGTTGGAGAAATAATTGAGTAATCCGCTGATTAATTTCATTGGTGAATCCAAACCAGTAAGTAAACAGGCTTATTTTTATTAATCAAATGTGTGTTGATCAAACACCTTTTAAATAAATCAACAGTATGAATAACTCCAGACAACGTTTGATTATTAAGATCTGTTAGGTTTGGTAATGATTGATAATATCAAATATCACAATATTTCCTGCCATATGCAATGTTTTTTATTTATTTTATTTATTTATTTATTTAATAAGTGCTTTTACTTAAGAGCAGATTTTCCAAATGAAATATGAGGTTTATAAGTTTACAGTCGTTCAGCTGTGATCTGCTCAGTGCAGGAAATAAAGGTCCCATATTTTTCAGTACAGAAGTCCTAGACCTGATCTATAATCAAACTACACATGGACAGACCTTTAGACTATATGGGACCTTTAATGCTCTGCGATCTCTCTGTTGAATATTTTCTTTATGTAAAGAAAGATGGTCTTTTGTTCATCTGCGGCTCTTCTTCTCTCCCTCTCAGACCTGTCAGATCGGTCTGAATTTCGCTAGCGAAGAAGAAGCCAAAAGATTCAGAGTTGCCATCAACGACCTGCTCAACCGACGGCAGCGCAAGACCGGTGAGTTTCAGCGTTGTTCAGTTTTTCTTTGTCTGCTTCCTCACCCTGTGTGACCTGTCTCGCCTCACACTGGAGAACTCACCTCCTCTTCTACTAACAACCTGAATCTGGGTCTCACACCTCTCTGCCTCTCTTGTGTCCCGGCTTTATCAGGGAGATGAGCAGGGCTTAGGGAATGAAAACCAAATGTCGACACAGGAAAAAGCTCCTGAAGTTCTTTCATGGTTTTGTTGTGCTGCCGTGATGCTTGAATACATTTGAAAATAGATGCACACAAGCAGAAAGGAAGAATTAGAAGGAACCAAAGAATCCCACACATGTTTGACACCTGAGGGTCGAAGGTCATTTTGGTCCTACAGGAGGAGAAGGGACACGGGACTCGCACATTATTATTATTATTATTATTATTATCATTATTATTATTATAATAATGATAATAATAAGTAGTAGTATTTTTCTTAAGAAGGTTACAAAGTGCTTAATAGAAAAAAGGGAATTAAAAACAAAAGAAACAAACATTAATAAAGCAGAAGAAAGTTACACAAAAATATAAATTGTCCGTATCATGAGAAAATAAAACGCAACATATCAAACATCCATGAAAGCTTTCTGATAAAAGACACTAATGAAGCTGCCTGTCTGATCTCAGGAGGTAGACTGCTCCACCCTGAGAGACCAGCAGAGCCCCCCCCCCCGCCCCCCGATCTACAGTCAACGCCCTGGCACATATGGGGTTAATAATAAATGACTATCGCTATCGCATCACCCGCTTTAATCCAGCACAGACAGTGATGACTCTTTGGAAGCTTCTGCCACAGTATTTGGAAAAATCACTTTCATTAAACAGAATATTCCAACAAGAATCTATGCAATTCTATTTACAGCACAAAACCTAATTAACTGTGGACTTTGAATTTTGATTGAAACTTTGAATGAAGCCAAAATGAAGCATTTCCACGACCCGTCGCTGCGTCTGCGTTAATGACTTCCTGCAGAGTAGCCTCCTATAGAAGCCACTGTGCCATGGGTGGATGAACGCTCCTCTGCTGACGCTCTCCTCCGCCTGTGTTTTGGCTGTTAAGGTGTTTTTCTTAGATGAGAGCATGAATGGAGGGATTGAGTTTTTTTTTTTTTTTGCCGACGGACACTTTCCTCCTTCCCTCTGTGAGCTCGCTGCGTTTCTCTCTGCTGTAGTAAAACTCTCGGCCCGTCTGCAGCGAGGCTCCTCTCTGGCTTCCCTCCAGCTCCTCTCAGCATGCTGGCCTTTTTGAAGTGCACTGCTCAAACTGTGATGATGACTGAGGGTTCAAAGGCTCACAGAGCTGGGAAACAGAAGGGTTTTAGAAGAGGGTGGGAGGGGGGGTTAGTTTATGTCAGACATAACTCAGCTTTCAAATCTTTCGCTTGTCCTCTTCCGCTCGTGTCGAAGACTTCTTGAACTGTCCTTCTGACTGTTTTGTCTACACTGTCGAAGACGTGTGGCAACATCTTCTCTCCGATCTCCACAGACTAACTGAACCTCATCACGCTTTCTGACTCTTGAGCAGCTCACCTTCTTCTCTCGCCTCTTTATCACTAAACAACTAAAACTATCTCAAATTTTACGAAGATAATTTTGCTCTGAAACTATAACTGTGTCAATTTTTCTTTTGCAGAGAAAAGAGGTGACCCTAAAAATGGTATGTTGAACTCTTAATATTGATAATGCAGATTCAGTAAGAGCTCAGAATGACGGTATATTTGTAACTTTCTTTTTTATTGTTTTTTTTTTTTTCCAAATCAAACCACAAAAACTCCAATAACTTTAAGATTCACCCGGCCGTGCCGAACAACAAAACGTAACATGACACGAAAATGGAGATAAATGAACCATTAAATAAATAAGAAAACAAAGAAATAAAGAGCAAAAGTAGGAAAACAGGAAAGGATCCAGATGTTGACCCACAACTGGTTTATCATGGGGAGCTCCAGGTTTTCAGTCCTTCAGTTATAAACAGCTGTTCAAACCGGAACCAAATTGAACCAAAACATTTGTTTTTATTATTGTTATTGTTGCTCAATAATAAATTATATATATTTTTCTATCTAAAGTTTAATTGACGAGGCCTCATATAAAACATATTTTGATTTAATCAGCATGTGTTCTGTTCTTACAAACGGCCACAGTGACCACGACTCATAGATACGTATGCCATACCTGTGTTGTAACTGTAACTACACACCAGCTGTACAGAGATATCACAAGGAGACAATAAGAACTGTGACTGTAAACGCAGTTACTATGGGGAAAAGCACATTACAGCCTTAAAATGAATGTTTTGTGAGTGTAGTGTTGGTGGCGGTGGTTTCAGCAGGTGGAGAGGATGAATTATAAATCTGAACCTCTGTGGCAGAGCTGCAGCAACCTCTCGGTTTCTAATAAATCCACCAAATGAGGGCAGAGTTTTAGTTTCCTGGTTGAACTGATGTGTTCAAATCCCTCCTGCTGTAACGTTCAGTGTTGGTTCAATTGTTGGTTCAACTGTTGGTTTTCCATCCACCACACCTGTAGACCGTTAACAGTCACAGAGATCCAGCTCCAGACTTGTAAATACTGCACATACGCACATAAGTTCTCTCCTGTACAAACAGCTAAAGCTTCATACACACTACACAACATCAAATCTACACAACAAAGGCATCCGGTCGAGTGCTCCTGGTCCCTCCGACCCGGATCAACAAACACGAGTCTGTTTGTGTCTTTGTTTGGACTCTCATTGTGCTGTGAATGGGGTTCATGTGGGTGAAATATAGTCAAGATCACAAAATCTCGTGACCCCCCCCCCCCGCAGTGAAACAGGCGGAGCAGCTCACCGTGTGAATGTCGAAGCAAGACACTGATGAGGAAAAACCGTTCACGTTAGATGAGCATCTCCTACAGTAATAGATGTTGTTTGCACGCCTGGATACAGATGCCAGGAGACTGCAGTGTTTCCTGACACGTCGGCGGTGCTGTTTCACAGACGGCGTGACTCACACACTGACACAGAGTGGAGTCTTCTGCAGGTTAATCTGGTCAGCAGGAGGCCCGTCTGTGCCATATGTAGACCACATGGCCTCTGTTGTTCCCTGTGAACCCTGTTGTGATGCACATTAGGCCTAATCTGTAATCCCCACAGTCACTGCTGCCAAACATTTGTTTTGTGTATAGATTTATCATTTAAATTCTTAGTTTGTTTGTTAAATCGTGTGGCAAACTAAACGTGGATAGAAGTTAATAACAGGTGTATAATGTGATCAGCCATATTGATGTTAGGGCTATACCCGCAAGATTTTTAATGCGTGAAAACGGCATGACTCGTCGTTTCCTTAAAAATCTCATTCCACACTGAAACACCAGAACAACAGGAAAAAGGTTCAATCTCTTCTTCTTCGTCTTCTTTCGGCCGGTATTCAGCAGTTGGGACCGTGGATGTTCTAGTGTTACCTGCACATTTCGATTCTACTCTTTCCGTTGGACAAAAGTTGCGGATAGCACCTGGGTCCAAGCGAGCTGAGACGATACCGGCTCAGAAGGTGACGTGAAAACACTGCGGACTGCTGACTGGTCAGAGAGAATCATCACTACTGTGTCATCGTTGTGCGAGACGGGATGTTCTGAACAAACCAGCCAAGCGACGAGCCTGCTGCATTTATGTTGTTATTGTACAAAACCTTTAGTATAGTTGTCCTCTGATCTAACCGTTCCTCCTCCACACTTAAACACAAGTCTGGAGCTTTTGTATTGTTCCTCTCTGGATACCATTTCATCGGACAGAAGACTGAAACTGGTAGGGAAAAGATGCATTTTCCAATTGAGCGGATAGACGTGACACATTTTTGAAATCGGTGATCACAGAGAAAGTTAGTGGAGGGGGCAGAAAGTTGACCTCGTAACACTTGACGAGACTCGTTTTCAGATTTATCCACTGTTGGAGGTGTTTGGCAGAAAGATCCGTTTCCTGGCTTAGTATGGACTGAAGGCCAAAACAAACGGCTGTGTTTTCACATTTAGCCAGCTTAACGTGAATGTGGTCCTTCTTTCGGGAATGTGATATCTTCTAAATCCTTCGTGTTGATTCAGAAGTTGGCAATCTGACAGGTTCTTTGGGTAAAAATGGCTTGTGAGCAGCATGTACGTCCTTTCTTAGAGCTTTCCCAAAGGTAAATGCTATTTTACTGTTTTTATTTGCCTGTATCTGAACGCCAACATGAGTACATCATGTGAGTAATGGTCCCAGTGCGTCCAAGCTTTAATTTAGACCTTCTCCTCTGCAGCTGTGCCTGCATGTCGTCCCAAAAGACTGTTTACTTCTGTTAGGCCCTCGGACTGTTGGCAAACACTGTAACCGTAAAGAGCAGGATTAACATATACTGAACAGATCAGTCGCCTCTTCAATCAACTCTGTGGACTTGTGCCTGAGATCGTTGCTTCATTGAAGTTTCTCTCCGGTGGCACAGATTCATTCTGACATTTCAGCTGTGAAACACGAGACCAACAGTGGAGCTGGTGTTGTTGGCGGCTCCGTTTGGGGAGATGCATGTTCGCCTCCTCCCTCCTCTTGGAATGTATTGTTCTTGTCCTCATTGTGAGAACGGCAATGAAAACACGTCTGCAGGGGGAAGAAGCTGCCCATGTTGGTCCTTCAGGGATCACCCCCATTGTTTGACTCGCCTGTTGTGAACTCGCTGACGCTCCTTAGCAAATGTTGTCAACTTGAACGGACGCTCACTGCTGTATCCAGCCAAGTAGGAGGTGAAATTATAGGTTGTTGGCTGTTTAGGAGAAGAACCCAGAGTTTAAGCAGCTTTCAGTATGAAATGTGCCGAAGACCTTTTAGTCAGTACGGAAAGTTCAGATCTGAGTTTCCTGGAGCTTGAATGAACTATATTCTTCGTTTCTTGCCAGTTTCGACTTCCTAATTCAAGTTTGAACTCCAGAGAACCCAAGTTTGAACAATGCAAGTCCAAAACTTGCAAGAACAGGAAGATGCAGTATGTTTTAATCTGGATGGACATCGAGATAACCCGGGCACTCAAGGTCCAGTTTGCATATGATTTGAACAGGCAGTCAAATGAGTCCTCACATCTCTGCATCTCTGTAAATGTCAGAACAAATTTTCTAGTAGGTATTATTAGGATTAATTGACCACACGTTTGATATCTATATAAGTGAGAAGTGGCAGCAGTAACCACTTTGTAATAGGCATGCTGGGTCTAAATGTAGAACACAAGAACTCTGAAGTAAGAAAAGCCTCCAGGAACAACTGTGGGTTTTGAAGAAGTAACATCTGTAAAACACCTGGAAATGACTCTTTATATCATCACACGTTGAGACATTCGGTCGTCCAGTTCTCTTAATGCATCCAAGGTGCTAAGTAAAAGCATTTAGATGCCATTAATCTTTACTGCAGTGAACTGTGTTGCCATGATATGGATTACATGAGACATAACTGTTTGAACATAAAACTAAGTAAATACCAACCCAGACAACATTTAGTGAAGCTGTTAGTTCAAATTAGAGCTGGTTATCTTTGAATTCTTTAACACTAGTAGCTACTGATACAAAACAACATATTTTCAATCCCTTACTTTCAGAAATATAAGCATGTTTTGTTGTCTAATCACAAGCAGCCACACAAGAACTCTGTTTAAACTCAACATAAAATGGCTAAAATGATTATTTTAATTAGGAACTATCTGATCAAAGAACAAGCAAACAGGATTATGAATCTGATTTGGCGCAGACTTTCAGTAGAAAGTTACGTACTTTGTCGAAACTTTGTACCAAATATTCCTGCATTTTTCATTAACCTTGATGCAGAAGCTTTTCGGTCAGTACCACAGAAGAACTCATTTGTGAGACCCAGACCTGCACGGGACCAACCCAAACAGCTGTGACTTGAAAGCTGGGAAACGACCACCAGCCCCGTCCTGGTTCTCCGGAGACGGCGGAGTCGAAGCGAGCCTGTTGATCTGGTCGTAGACATCTAGTATTCATGGGGAGTCCAGGGATTTGGACCAGGATTAGCAGTGGATTAGTGGTTATGTCAGATGCTGCTGCAGTTTGCGGAGATTACGAGGGATTCGAGGACTGAACGGCCCCCTGACCAAGCAGGAGGAGAGGGAGCGCCGCTTGACATTTGTGTTAGAAAACATGGATCATAAAAGCTCAGAACAAATTGTTGGTGAACACGAAACACACCACAGAGTTTACACCAGCCCGCTGCCACATTGATCCCTCAGGTACCAGCGATTATTAAAGGCATATTGATGACAGTGTATGAGAGTCAGGAGGGTCATTTACAGTCTGAAGTCCTGCATCTCGTAGAGGACGCAGTATTCCTTGCAGCAGCAGTATCTTACGTCACAAAAGCAATGAATTCACTTTCCTGACTTCCGAAGGTATTGAAGTCTTATATTTTTATTTGCAAACGTGAAAACTACTTCTTCCTATCTGTTATAGCCAGTAATATCAGTGATAATAGAAATCTTCTGCGGCTCCGTGCAGTCAGGAGGTTGTGATACTTCATAGACCCACAATAAACCAGTAGAAAGGTCAACAACATGTGGTGAAAGTGGTCTCAGACTTTTGGACCCCACCGATTATTGAAAGAGTTTTTGCTTTCTGAAATCATTCCGCCTCTCGTCCTAACTCTTAGAAAGATGGAACATAAAATCCACAGCCTCCTGTTTTGAATGAAATGTTCTAAGTTCAGCTGAAACTGTGACTTCGGCAATTTCAGTCCAATCCAGTAGAGAAGTTTATATTTTTCTCTCGTCTTCTTTCCGTGGACAGTGTTTTCTAGCTGAGCTCTGGTGGTTGGAGAGAAAAACAAAGAGGGAATTTTTTTTTTTTTTTTTTTTTTTTTTGTCTGACTCGTTCCAGCTTTGTCTGAATTATTATAGATTCAGCATTTTTGCACAGAATAAGGTCTGTGAATTGTCCCCTCCCTCTTCCACTGGAATGGCATTGGGAAGCGGTCTCTTCACGTGACGAGTAACTCTGGAAATGTACATATTTGTGAGAGTTGAATAAGTCCCAACTTGAAAACATGGAGAATAAAGAATAAGTTGACTGAACATCACAGCTGAGGTAGAAAATCCAAAGGTGAACAGAGGAAGAAATCTTAATCTTAGTATGACTTTATCTGAAACTCACATTAATTTAGTTGTATTATCATTACTACTTCTTCATGCCTCTTTGAAGTCTTACATTTAACCTGATGAACCTGCAGAAACTCTGATTAGTGAAGTGTTGGACAGAAGAAACGACGTCATGATTATTAGGTTTTCTTAGAGTCCTTCTAGTAGTGAAGCTAAAATGTAAAGTTTGTCCTTAGAGGAAACGGTTCATCCTCCAGGGAGCAGGAAAGACATCAGGACGTTTCTTTACAATCAGCCACAACTTATGGATATGTCTCCCTGACCCACCCCCCACCCCCCCACTCTCTTCCCCTCTCTGTGTCTAGGTCCAGCTCTGCCCATGGCCACAGTGGACATCAAGAACCCGGAGATCAACAACGTGAGATTCCACAACTCCCACAGCCACCAGCAGCCGTACCACCTCAACAACATGCTGAGCCACAGCGGCCTGAACCGCAAGGACAAGAAGACCAAAGGCAAGAAGAAGAAGCTGACCAAGGCCGACATCGGCACGCCCAGCAACTTCCAGTGAGTCACACGGCGCATATTTAACATCGCTGAGAGCGTCTGTGAGGGAGACGAGTGATAACACACTCGGCTTTCAGTCATTCGGTTGTGTTAGCTTCACTTCCTCAATCATACTGTACGAGGGGATCAGCAGTGAGGTCAGAGGTCACAGAAAAGCAGAGGGCGAGGAGTTATCACGAAGTAGAAGAAAAAGGAGCAGCTGTAACTACAAATAAAAAGTATTTTAGAGTGTCAAAACAGAAAGGCTCAAAATATTCTCAAGAAAAGTAAGAATAAGATTTTCATTTAAACTTTGACTGTAGTTAAAAACATTTTCAGCGTTTAATTATGGGCTGTGATTAATTGCCTCTTCAATTTATTTCAAGCAGCCACTTCACATAAACCATGAAAACGATGAGGCAGGAAATGAAAGGTTGTCGTAATGTTTTCATTATCTGTTCATTCATTTTCTTGTTTTAATCAATTCATCGTTTCATCTATAGAATAAATAAATAACTCCTCCAGTCTTCTGGTTGGATTTATAGTTTCCCCGGTGAAGCAGAGATTTCCTCAGACTGAGAGTCAGGGGTTTGATGTGCTCAGAGTTTGTTGTTAATGTGATAAAACAAACACTTCACTTCCTCTTGAAAAAAAAACCTCTTCACAAGTTGAAGAGTTTTGGCGAACGCAGGCGCCACTGATTTAAAAAATAAATAAATAAATAAAAGTTTGTAGTTAAAAAGGAAGTTCACTAGTGTTCAGTCACAGACGTGCAACTCAACAGAGTCTGAGAGCGCTCAATGACCACACTGTCTCTGTGACTGATGTGTGAGTGTGTGTGTGTGTGGGCTCACTGTTTAACATGCGCACATGGTCGCCCACGTGCACATGCTAAACAGTTGATGTACTTCTGTGTGTGTGTGTGTGTGTGTGTGTGTGTGTGTGTGTGTGTGTGTGTGTGCGTGTGCGTGCGTGCGTGTGCGTGTGGACGGACACATGTGTTATCTCACCACATATCTGTCCCTTCTTCTTCAGGCACATCGGTCACGTGGGCTGGGATCCAAACACAGGTTTTGATGTGAGTACCCGCTCTACGCACACACACACACACACACACACACACACAGAGGAGCACAATAGTGACCTGTGTGGTGGCTGCATGATGACATCACACAATGGGCTGTTGTTGCTTCCTGCTCATATTCACAAACGTGTCGCTGCGTCTCAGAAGCCGCAGAGACACAGAATGTTCCAGAGAGAATCAGCTGCAGCCTCTTTCACCCACGGAGCTGATTACTGCAGAAATCAATCAATCAATCAATTAATTAATTAATTAAAATAAATACAGAACCATCTCAGGATCCTGCTTCATAACAAACTCAAAAATCACCTAATAATCCTGGATAATTGTGGCTCTTCAGATTAAAAGATGAAAACCACTCTTTGTTAATAAAGTTGCACTGACCTCACATTATTTTCTAGATGTGAAATGCATCATGGAAGTTTCTTCTAAACACAGACGCACTGACCATGTGGTCGTCTCGTTCGTTATCTGTCACTATTTGTTTTCATACCAAAAAAAAAAAGAGTAATGTGATTTGGTTCAAGGGGAGAAAATAAAATCTGGAGCTGTGAGCTTCTGTAAAGCTGCTGATTCTCATTATTAAAATTCTTAGTGTTGTAACAGAAATGAATGACGTGTTGGATCCTTGAATTTGAGGGAATTGGGCCTTGAAAAGTCCTTGAGTCTGATGTTTAAGGAGGAGTGGGAGCAGCGTTTTATTCACATGATTCACATGCGTATTCACAAGGTGGTGTTTTAATTTAGAAAAAAGAAAATAGCTTTCATATTTATTTTTCATATTTAATCAAAACATTAAAAAGAGGGTAAAGAGTTTTGATTTTGAAGGTGTTTAAATATAAAAATATTCAAAAGTAATGTCAACAAAAAATAACTACTGGAAAAGTTTTAAAGCACAACTCGTCTTTTCCTCTATCACAGGAAGTGATAAATCACAAAATAACGAAGTTGAGCTTCTGTACCTCAGAAGGAAAACTGCATTTCTAAATGGAGGAATTACAGCGTCCAGAGCAGAATAACTCAGTTGGATTGTGAACAGGCTGCAACATCACTGTTGTCATGATGATTACCGTTATAAAAATGGAGGCTGTGAGAAACACTGACCGGTTTGTCGCTAGTCATCACTGAGTTCGTCAGACTGACGGGTTTAAGCAGGACCCTGGTTTGTTGTCGGGTCGCAGGCAGGTTGTATTTGCAGCCGTTGGCCACTAGATGTCACACCGACACTGCGTCTGACTGTTACTGTTCACTGCAGAGGGAGAAACTCACAGCTGTCTGCGCTGTTGAGTCAAAGAGGAGCAGGAAACTCACTGTTTTCTTTCTTCCACAGCAAAGTTTTCATCATGATGCACAAAACATTCCTACATCATCTCATTATATACATACTGTGTCTCAAAGCAACGACGATGAGCAGCAGCTGTCCGGCCTCAATGGCCACTGACTACAACTCGAGGCTGCTGGTCGAAAGCCACGTCTTCTTCCTCCCTAACATCAGCTACAGAGAGGCTGCTAGCTGAACTCCCTCCCTGTGTCTCATCTGAGAGTTATCACCCAACATGCTCTCTCTCTCTCTGGCTCTCCATCCTTATATATCTTAGTGATAATTATTCTGCAGGTGCGCAGGTATGAATCCAGCTCAACAGCCGCAGTAACGAGGCTCGTTTCCTCATCCAGCTCCTCACACAGGTGCAGGATGTAGTTTGACCAGCAGGGGTCATCGGTCAACAGTGTTCTGAACTGTCTTTAATGTCTGTTCCCGCTTCACACACTTTTTTTAAAAAAAGGTTCTCCGTGTTCTGTGTTTGTTGACGTCGCAGCTCAACAACCTGGATCCTGAACTGAAGAACCTGTTCGACATGTGCGGCATCTCGGAGGCGCAGCTGAAGGACCGAGAGACGTCCAAGGTCATCTACGACTTCATCGAGAAGAAGGGAGGGGTGGAGGCGGTGAAGAACGAGCTGAGGAGGCAGGGTGAGAGCGCACGCACACACGCACACACACACACACACACACACCGTCTGTTGAAGAATGAAACTCTCCAGGATTTTACTGCAGAATGGCTGAATTGTTGAAAAACACAGATACAGTGATAGTACATGATTACTTAATTGATTTATTAGTTGATTAGACAATTAATTGCCAACTATTTTGGTCATTTATTAATTGTTTTAACCAGTAGAAAAGCACCAGCCACTGTCTTTACTCCCTCCATCAGGAATATGTCCGAGATACAGGCATTTAAATGTTTGTGTTTTAATTGATCCGCCTGTCCTGCTTACGCTGCATCACACAGAGTGATTGACAGCTGCTGTTTAACTCCTGAGGATGTTTGAGTTGAGAACACACACGACTGTTACGTATCATCAAATCACAAGTCTGGGATTTTTAAACCTCGTCTGTTAATTAAAAATTAATTGAGTATCAGGAAAAATAATATAAAAAAATGTCATAAATAAACAATGATGTAATAAATGCTTCTTTTCTACGGCCTCACCGTCGTTTTTATTTATTTAAATTCCTCTCGGCTCCGTGTCGAACTGTCGCCTCCTCGCTCTCTGTTATTTTTCCATCAGACGGTTTGAGGTCTGAAGATGAAACGCTGTTTCCTGTCTGACGCTTTTATTCTCTGTGACAGTTTGTCTCCATGTTTTATTCATGTTCAACCTGAGAGAGACGAGAGGAGTGATCTGAATCTGAATCTGTGTGTGTGTGTGTGTGTGTGTGTGTGTGTGTGTGTGTGTGTGTGTGTGTGTGTGTGTGTGTGTGATCTTTTTCATGCGGCCTCAGTGATTTAAAGATCAATCTGATATCAGTTACCAGTATTTGAATATTATTGGTTATGGATTGGATATCGGTGGTTGTTGACACCGTAACCTCCAGCGTAACCTTGGAGCCTGCGTGCGAACAGTGTTGCCCTTTAATCCAGTTGAGCAGGTGAATGTGACGCCTCTGTGATGTCATCTTGTCTCTTATCTCTCCCATCCCGCAGCACCCCCTCCTCCTCCTTCCCGTGGCGGACCTCCTCCTCCTCCTCCCCCACCCCACCACGCCTCAGCTCCACCTCCTCCTCCGCCCCCATCCAGAGGAGGCCGGGGAGCCCCTCCTCCCCCTCCTCCGTCCAGAGCACCCGCCTCAGCTCCTCCTCCCCCGCCTCCCTCCCGACCAGGAACTCTGGGTGCTCCGCCTCCCCCGCCGCCTCCCACCAGAGGAGGTCACCAGCCCCCTCCTCCTCCCCACCATCACCACCATCACCAGGCTCCACCTCCTCCTCCTGCACACTGTTCCATTGCCCCCCAAGCTCCACCCCCTCCGCCTCCCCCACTGTCCCAGCAGTCTCCAGTCGGCGGCGGCGGCTCCGCCCCTGCTCCACCTCCCCCACCTCCTCCTCCACCTCCCCCGCCCGGCCCTCCTCCCCCTCCAGAGCTGGACAGCGGAGGCGGAGACTCGCCTCATTCGCCGAGCCCAGGCGGGAAGTCGGCGCTGCTGGAGCAGATCAGGGGAGGGACCCAGCTGAAGAAGGTGGAGCAGAACAACCGAGCGCCGGCCTCCAGCACCGGCCGAGACGCTCTGCTGGACCAGATCCGACAGGGGATCCAGCTCAAGACCGTAAGACTGGATCTGATTCAACAGATCAATATATATGTTCAATATATATTTCAATTCTAATTAGAAAATCAATAAATAAAAAGAAAACAGATGAGGAAGCTTCAAAATACTTCAATTTTACCTGCGCAGGAAAACCTGTGATTTCCATGACAACAGAAACACGTGTTTGTAACTAACTGACCTGGATCTACGTCTCGTTTGTCTCCAGGTGTCGGATCACCCGGAGTCCGGCCCCCCGACGCCGGCTCCCACCGCGGGCATCGTCGGCGCTCTCATGGAAGTGATGCAGAAGAGGAGCAAAGCCATCCATTCCTCAGGTGAGTCCGCCGACTGTTTGTGTTGTCGTTCAGGGTTCTTACCTGAGCTGAGACCGTTTCCCGGGAAATACAGGAAGTTCGACGTTTTGGGAAACGTGCCGACTCGTTTTCCAGCTGTGGGGTTGATGGGAAGATCAATACCAGATACTCACATCTGTTTGTGTGTAAAAAGTCGTCTCTCAGAGGGTCGTGTATTGGACTATTTCTTGGTGGGGACTAGACAGAAACCCCAGTTAATAGACCGATCCTTAACTCCGTTTCAAACACCTGTATGTCAGGTTTTTATCTCGTTTTTTTGAGACATATTTAAGATATAATGTGTTAATTGGTGAACTTTAGGGATGATGTACCTGTGGACGGAGCCAGGCTAGCTGTTTCCCCTTGTTTCCAGTCTTTGTGCTAAGCTAAGTTAGCGGACTGCTGGCTGTAACTTCATATTTACAGTACACACGTGTGGTGCCGCAATCGCCAAATTATGGGCCAAATAAAAGTATAATAATCTAAATATATAATAATAATGATTTTTGACTGACGTTTTCAGTTTTATTTTAAGAATCTAATAAACACAATATCTTTTGTTTTGTATTGCGATCACCCATTTATTACATCATGTCATATCAGCCAGTTAAATGGCTCGTTTTTCCCGCTCTTAGAGGTCCAGCCCAGTTTTCTCAACAGGAAAGAGAGGCAGAACTCTAAAGTTTTTACTCTCTGGATTTTCACTCTTTAAATGATCGTTTCATTGTTTTTCTTTCCCCAGACGAAGACGAGGATGATGACGAAGACGAGGACTTTGAGGACGACGACGAGTGGGACGACTAGTGACGACTCTCCTGTCCTCAACCCAGGTCCCCCACCCCCCACCCTCACCCCTCCTGCACCTATCTCTGACACTAAAATATCTTCTAAAAATCTTCCAGAATCTGACTAAAATTGAAATGTAAATGTTGTATGAATTTGCTGTATATTTATTTTTCTTTATTTTCTTTTTTTTGTTTTTGCTCTTTGGGTTTTTTATGATTATGATCATTAATCTGTGCAATACCTCATCCGTTAAATCTGCACCCTCGTCATCAGAGACACACACACACACCCCCCCACCCCCCCTTCAGGACATCCAGTCATTAGAAAAGCACTTAAATCTGTCATCAGCACAATGTGGAGACACAGCCGGCGACATTTCATTAATTAATAATCAATAATCTAAAACACTAGCTGCTCCACCGAGAGGAGTCGGGAGTCCTCGTGATCCTTGGGAAATATTTCATGTGTTCATTTCTTCATGTTTCATTCCTTTTTGTTTGAGAAACTTTTAAAGGGAGACGCAGGTGCGACCGAACAGGCAGGATCCTCTTTGTGTTTTGACAGCGGTCGCTTTAAATGCGAGATAACACTATTTTCTTACCGTGCTTCTTTTCATACCTTTTCCAGTTTTTTCCTAATAAATTGTAGTTTAGTCGTGTTATTTTTTCATGAAGACATTCGTTGACCAAAACATGGCGGCCCGGTCGCCTCGCGTGGATCTTCAACTTTTATTTTTTACGTAACGAAAGCCGTTTATTTGCACACAGTTTGTATGATAGTTCAGTTTTGTTTTTGTTTTTTGAGTGTGCGTTTGTCAGAAATAATTTTTATTTTATTTCAGGCAGGATACAGTGACAAACACTTTTTCTTTTCTTTTTTTTTTTCTTTTAAAGCTAAAGGTTTCGCAGCCTTTTAAATGCGATTTACAAACGTGACTGACGATGTTTGAGTTCGCACATTTCTTTGGCTCGATGCAAAAAAATATGTCCACACACGTTAACTCACACACACTGTGGCGTTTTGTGGAATGATGGGAGTTTTTTTTTGTTCTGATGTCTGGTTGGTTTTTGTTCCGTTACTTTCTGCAGGAGGAAGCATCAACAGCTCTGGTCAGTATTTCAAACAAATATCACACACTACACAAAGAAACAAAATAATAACAATAAATAAAACAAAAAAAAAAAAGAAAGAAAATATCATCCTCTTCCGTCCTTCAGTTAACAAACTATAATTTTATGCAATGCGACTGTAAATGCCTCCTTATGGAGAATAATAGAAAAAATACAAATAAAGCAAATAATGAACCAAATGTGGCATTTGCAAGCAGCTTGTGGGTTTGCCGACGCCTGTGATCCTCCGTCTGTGAACGGTGCAAAGAAAAATAATCGACGCTCGTTTTAACTTGTTCGTCTTTAGAGTTTTTACCGTCCTCCAGCGTAGAGGCGTGATGCTGCATCGAGAAGCCGAGATACTGACATCGAACCTGTGAAAAGGGTCGGGGAGGGGTGGAAGGGTTGGTGGGTGGGGGGTGGGGGGGGCAATGAGAAGACTAAATTGTATACTTAAATAAATGTTAATATTTACAGAGAAATTTGTCTCTTGGTGTTTGTTAAACTGATTCTTGACAGACTGAACTCATGAACTCAAAAGTGTGTACATGAAAACACACTGCAGCAGGAAACAGTGGTCCAGCACTCCAGCAACGACATCCTCACAAGGTAATAAAAGGTTTTAATTTAATCCACAAATGTATTTATTATAGTTTCTCTTTCCTGCAGTACATGATCTATATGATTATTGATGATTGTGCAAACTAATATTGGGAATGTTGTGACGGAGGATTGAGGCTGTTTCAGTCAGAACCATCACAAAAAACTCAAAGCGAGTTGGTCACTTTCAGTCGGTGAATCCATCAGATTCATAAACATAAATAGACATAAAATAATATATAATGATTGTAGGTCATGTCCTCGCTACGTTCATATTTTGACCGGTTTAATATGAAATGTGTATTACATTACTTTCTGCTTGTTAAAAAGGTCTTAAGAAGACCTCAGGTTACCTTTTAAAAGCTCCAAATTTTCTTCTTCTTCTGTGTTTTATTTGAAGTGTTGATCCATAAGAAGATATATTTAAACCATCTCAGTGTAGTTTCACATCTCCTCTCTCAGGCTTCTCTCTGGAGCTCTAGTAACAACAGGTCGGTGAGCCAATCAGAAGAGAGGAGGCTCTGAGCCTCTCTTCTGATTGGCTGACTGTTTTCTGAGTGAGCCAATAGAAATATAGCAGATTTCAGGTAAAAACACTCAGAGAAACCAAATCCTACAAGGTTTGGATGGTGGGTCCAGGTGGGCGGGGCTTGGTGACTGCTTTGTTGTGACATCACAAAGTTCCAGAAGTCCTGACGGCTGGTTTTAAGGCTCAGTTTCTGAATACAGGCTGTGTGCATTTCTCTGTGGACTGAGGCTTTGATACTTTCACAGTATTAATATAGAAGCTAGAGCTGATCTATAATCACACTACACATGGACACAGACCTTTACACTATATGGGACCTTTAAGAAAAACTCTGTAACAGCGTAGAAACAGATATTTACAGCAACGACAAAACCAGGTAGCCTTACTATGTGGAGGGTGGCAGGTAAGTTTCTGTCTAGAGGTCAGATTTAGGTTAAAACGTATTTTTCTTGCGGTGTTTGAGTATTTGTTTTTAAGCCACGCTAGCATCTCGAGGGAGGGATAAACTGCCATGTAATTGCATACAAATGTTCACGGTCCCCTGAGGGTGATCTTCCTGTGATCCCCCTGACTTCTGACTTTTCCTCCAGCACCACTGTGAAGGTTTTGAGTGAAATATCTCCACAGCTGTTAGATGGGTTAGATTGTCATGACTCGGCTACATACGTTCACGCTCCCCTGAGGTTGAATTCTGATCACTTCCTCCTGTTTCATCCAGTGCCATGCATCATGAGCAGGATGAACAGATGGGACTTGTGTTGCTCTGAGTAACACAGTGAGTACGGTGTCAGTAACTCGATGCAGACACGCTGCCGTGTCTCTCAGCACTGTGTAATCACAGGATTTTATTTCCCTCCAATTAAACATGAGTAGAGAGATCTAAGTGGCATTTTATTAAAGATGTGAAATGTTGTAATGAGGGGGGTCACTTAGTCACAGTAACCCCCCCCACACACACACACACACACACACACACACACACACACACACACACACACACACACACACACACACACTCACACACATCCCTGAGGGGGGAGCCCGTGTTTACTTTGAACAGCTGTAATAATGAACTTCAGTGAGTGTGTAAGTAACTGGATTAGAAACTGATTCATACACAGACATGGATCTGAAGCTCTGCTGCTCCTCTGCCAGATAAACTCTGTGTTTACTGTATTTACATCACACTGTAATTACATCGCAACATAGGAAATCTAACTAAATACAGCTGCTTTACTATTTTGTTTCCTCATTTTACTTTGCAGACTTCAGACTGTGACGTTGTTTGTAGACTGCAGGACTGACCTTTCTTGATTTCAAGCTTTAAAGGCTTTAAATTTCATTTTATGTTGAAGTTAAGAGTTGAAGTGGCTGAGGCTGTAATGCTCATTAACTTTTCTACTCTCTGATCGTTTCCTTCAGCGGAGTAAAATATGTAAAGTTTGTCCTGAGGGTGGCGCTGCAGGTTACCATGTTGGTACCTGAATCAAAAAGGTGTATCCTCTGGAGAGTGGTCATTGAAGATGTTTGAGACTCAGCTTGTCGGACTCAGCTGCTATGCTTATTTTTTTGTTTGTTTTTGTTAGCATGCTCATATGTTAACCTTAGCATGTTAGCCTGCTAACACCTGTACAGTGAGCAACATTTAGTAACATGTAGCACGTTAGCTTGTCAGCGTGATAACATGATGATTTGTACAGCTCCTATATTTTATATATAACGTTGACTTATATTATTTAATGAGAACTCTTCATGTTGCTTTTTGCAAAACAAACAAGACAATTCAAAAGCTGAGTTGGGAAGAAATCACCTGTCGTGTACAGTGTGAAGTGTCTGCATCTCTGTCCTGTATCAGTGTGTGTGTTGATGGACAGTAAGCAGCAGCTGCTTCAGTCCGATCATGTAACTGCTCTGTGGGTTTGTAGTAGAGTAATCCCTCTGCGAGTGGCCTTTATTAGAGAACACAGTGAGCTGATCCTCCTCTATGAGCACAAATATCTCTCACTATGAACATTTATATTCAAATTTGAATCGTTTCGCTTGAATAATTGGATTTAAAATCTGAATCGCATAGTTAGAAATTATTTATAATAATATATTGATGATAATATCAGATTCATCGAAGCTTATAATTAAAGAAAGTGCTGATTTAAACCGATTGTGATGTTTTACCTGCCTTAAACTCATAAGAACAAGTGCACACAGCAGCCTTTTGTAGCAGAGCTAATTTCAAATAATAAAAAGTAGATTCATCTGCAAGACTTAAAAAACCTTATTCTGATCCTGAGCCAGAGGAAAAACTGAACAAGTGGGTAGAGAACCTTTCATGGGTTCAGTGTTAACGAACGTGAAGACCGAGGCAGAACATAAACTTTTATTTCTCTACACATCAGTTTTCACAGTCGGTTTCACACGGTAACAAAACATAACAACAGTAACTGAAACAGGGAGAAGTGCAGTCTGCCGCTTCACTGTGTGACGACTTAAACAACATACTGTTAAAAAGTGACGTTTGAGGTGAAATAAAAATCTTTAAATATTTCAATACAAAGTGAGAACAGTTCAGGTGTGACGAGTCGGAGGGGGGGGGGGGGGGGGGGGGGGGGGGGGGGGGGGGGGGGGGGGGGGGGGGGTTCAGGTCTGTGACTGATCCACCTGCAACGACAAACATCACACACACGTTTATCAGCTGCAGCAGATTTAAAACTGGACGGATGGAAGTTCAATTACTTTCCAAAACTTTAAAAAATTACATTTTATTTTTATTATTAAGACACCCAGCAAAATTGATTAGTTATTAGTTATTGTTAGTTATTAAGAAAAACTAACAAGAAAAAAACAACATTAGATTATTCGAGTTCAGACCTTATTTGAATTTGCACTTATTTTTATGATCCCATTATTTCAAGATTACAAGTTAATTATTTTTTATTGTTATTTATTATGTCATCTCAAAAAACAAAATAATAATAATAATAAAATAGAATAGATTATATCTTGGGTTGTAGGGCAGCAGATTTGCGTAAATCATGAAGCACAAAGGTTTAAATTTAAAAGAAATTGTTTTCTCAAGAAGATTATGATGATAAATATGTTGTTATCACAACAACAACAACAAAAAACATTATTCTGAGAAAACAAGGTAATAAAGTTTTGATGACAGGATAAATCAAAATAAAATAAAAATACTTGCATCAACAGCCACTATCAGCTTCCATATAGAAGTGCCATCATTACAATCAATAATTAGTGTTGCTTAGGAACTGTGAAAACAATGCATCACTATTGGAAAGATTAAGTGAAAAGCCACACCCACTACCATTATCTTCATCCATAATTTTATTTAATTTTATCTTATTTTAAAACTGTATTTATCAAGGGCATGTTAAGAATGAACATCCTGCTCTTTTCTCACATTGTTCCCTAAACAATCTATAAAATTGAGTTTCCAGTTGAACTGTATGGACGCTGCATTAACTTACATTAATTCCCAGGAGACTTGCTGTTAATCGCTAAATGTCTCACCCCAACCATCACCCCTGAAACCCTGACCTTAAGTCTTAACCCCTAAAACTTAATGGTTCACCACGTGGGGGGCAAGTCTCCGTGATCCAGCTGCGTGAACAGAGTCGTCCCCGCAATCTGACAAACAGAAGAACCCACTTAAAGACTGATGTTTACATAATGTTTACGTTGAATACTTCTATATTGGTTTTTCAGCTCGTCTGCTCTCTTCCCAGCGGCTCCCGGACCAATCAGTCTTATCAAACAGCAGTGAAGAAGTCAAACTATTTATAACCTGACAGAGAGTTGAGGAATTCACGGAGCGACAGAGACCGCCGTCTGATGACAGCAGGCTCTCGGCAAACGGGGTCTAATGGCTTTTGGAGGCTGAATTATGTCTGTGATGCTTCCACTCAAGCAAAACAAAATTCCTCCAAACCCTAATATAGATCAGTCAGTGACGGACTCGCAGGAAGTCTTACCCTTTTTAAGGACCTGATGCTGCTTCCGCGAATCGCCGCCATCAGGTCGTCGCGGCTCGACCTCTGCGGCGGCGGCAGGTGGGCCGGTTCCTCTCGTTTCTTCTGCAGCGACGGTTTCAAGCCGTTCTTCAGGTCTTTGAGAATGTCAGCGCTCTCCTTCTCGTTGGCGCCGTTCTTCAGCTTCTTTGACCTTGGTTTCCTCTGGTTCGACTGACCCTTCGTGCTGTTTGAGCTTTCGTGCTGTTTGACCATTTCGGCGATCTTCCTCGTGGGCGGGTCATGGGATGGAGGAGGAGGAGGAGGAGGAGGAGGATTTCTGTTCTGCTTTTCAACAGTCTTTGAAGATTGCGGCAGCTTTTTTGATGGTCTTTTTTCTGCAGTTGAAGCAGGAACTTGCCCCGATACCTCTGGAGGACTCTGTTCCTTCTTCTGTTGAAGCCTCCTCTGTCGCTGTTGGTCCTGGTTGCGTGTCAGGATGCCAGTCGCTGTCATCCTGGGACCTGGGAGGTCGAACTGGTAGCCGAGCTTGAGCAGAGTGGTGTTCTCCCTCAGCAGCTGGACCATCTCCATCTCCACCTTACCCCCGCAGATGTGCCGCTGGTTGTGGAAGCGAAGCTCCACCAGCGTCCTGTTGTGCTGCAGCGCCGCCAGCAGAGCCAGGATGCCTTGACCCGACACGAAGTTGGACTCGATGTTCAGGTTTCTGATGGAGCAGTTTTCACGGAGCATCTTGGAGATGGCAAAGGCGACCCGGTCATCGGCGTGGGTGTTGGCGAGACTGAACATGTGCACGTGAGTGTTTGTGCACAGGGCCTCGGCAAAACGAAGCAAGGTCTCCTGGGAGATGTCTTCAATGTTGTTGAGGTTGACTTCGTTCGTGGCGGGATCGTCACCCAGAATCTGCTCCAGAGCTGTGTCGATGACGATGGGGTTGCCGCTCGCTCGGTCAGAGGTCGTGTTCAGGTTTTGGTCTGTGGTTTCAGTCCTCCTCACTTCACTCCTCGAGCCTTTTGAGACGCCGTTCCTCTGGGGACATTTACTCCTGATCGGAGCTTCCTTTTTACACTCGTCTTTCTTTTCTGCCTCGTTTACCTTTGCGTCGTTTTTCCCAGAAACACTCTGTGCTTTCTTCTCCTTATTTGAAACCTTCTTCCTGTCACTGCCCAGAGTCTTGCCGGTGTTGCTGCCGGTCGCTGACACTCGTTCCTCCCTGCTCTTATCTGGCCGCCCTTCCTGCAGATGATAACAGGACGGAAAATGAGGTCGAACCCTGACATTCTGCAGCCCCAGGGCTTTTAATTAAGAACCCTCTCCAGCGCTGGCAGCCGCTCATTAAAGCTGGCATTTCTCAGACAGGCTATATTTTTAGACTGTTTTTTCCAGTGACACGTTTAAGTAAAATGGACACACGTGACACTTTCCACATCATTATATATAATAAAGTTTCATTCTCTCATTGACCTCAAAGTAAAAAGCTTCATATAAAAAACCACACACAACATGGGAGGAGATATCCCGATTTTTAGTCCATCGTATGGGTCACGTTCTTGGATCCTACATTTCTCAAAATGCAATTGGACCTTGAGTGCTTGGTAAAAAAAAAACATGTCTCTTTTACACCTCCAGTTTGTGAGGAACTCTTAACCCTGACAGGATCCCTATGCTCATTATCCTCTGGAGTCTTCAGCAGACATATATATATATATATATATATATATATATATATATACACAACTGTTGTTACAAGCGGAGTAGTGCTAATGTGATGAGTCAACTGATCTTAAAGTGGAAAATTGTTGGAGTGGTCCTTTAATCTTGAACTGAAACTGAATCTGTTTTCTGATTTTTCTTTTAAAGAATAAGTTGTGAGGGTGTTGATGCGGAGTCTTATTTTGACAGCGTGAGACAGTTTAGTCGTGTCACTTAGATCTATTCACTCTGCATGTTGTCTTTATTACAGTCTGTCTGCTGTTTGCTGCTGGTCATGTTGTGCACAGTTTGATTTACTGGAGCTTGTTTGAAGAAAACCAGAAGTGGACCTGACGGTAGATGAGCTGTGAATCAAAACTACAAAATAAAAAAGGCTAAAAAGCTTTGTACAACTTCAGGGTTGTTAATAGTTCCACCCATTTCAGATTACATGTTGCTGTTTAATTGTTAATGTGGAACCTAATAGTGCAGCTTTAAACATTCTTGTCACTTGAAGTTAACAGAATTTCTGACCATAGGTTTTCTTTAATGCAACTTTAACTATTTAGTTTTTTAATTTTCTCTTAAAACCCGTTTACAGAGACTTGAAACTTGCTACTGTAAAGAGATAATCAATCACAGTCGATATTTGATCAAGCGTTATTGTGTCAAAGTTAATTATCGTGTGCTGATGCAGAGACAAGCAGAAAAAAACTCTCTTTGCTGCTGTAACATCCGTGAACTGGATTTTACAGCAGCAGAGAAGCTTAACAGAGAAGACAACAACAACAACAACAACAACAACAAAAACATGGATGTTGTGAAAAGATCATTTTGTTTTAGTCATTTCTTGCATTAACAATGTTGCACATCAGCAGCCAACTGTAAAAAATTATGTATTTCCTCATGACGATAACCAAAAACTGTAAATCATTAATCAAAAAAACTGATGGATGATTTCACAGATTTTCAATAGAGATGTTGTGATTAATTGTCACTTGGTAGTTAAAATCTCAGGTACTGATTTTTGTTCTTACCTGTACAACGTTGGACTCCACCTTCTCGTCCTCCTGCAGCTTCTTGTTCTCCTCCTCCCAGTACTTCAGCAGAGCGTCCCTGTCAAAGTTCCCCGTCGGGGTTTTGGCGGTCTGGTCTTTCTGCCTCAGGCCGATGGGGACGTTGTTGTCGGGGTCGAGGTCGGCCAGCTCTCTCTCCAGCTCCTGGAGCTCCTCGGAGGACAGCGTGGCCAACAGCTCGTCTTCGTCCACCTCCTCGTACTTCTTCAGCTCCCTGCCATACCCCAAGGTACTCATGGTTCAGTGCTGGTTTCCGGACTCTCCAAAACGCTTTTAAATCTCTAACTTCAACTCTTCTCTTTGCACTTTTACTCCTCGGATACTTGATTAAATCTTCCTTAAGTTGTTCTCTCTCTCCTGCTTTGCTTCACTGGCTTGTCCTCCATCAGATTCCCTCAGATCAGGGATGCTGTGGGTGTCTGGTGACTCCTTGTTCATCTACTGTGTCCCAGCTGCCAGAGGATCCTGACGGGGAGAAGGGGGAGGGCCGCCATGCCTGTGATGGTCCTGTCTTTTTTTAGGGTGTTGGGTGGTGGTGGTGTGGTGGTGGGGGGGGGTCAATGAGATAGGCTTACTGCAGGAATGTGAGCCCTCTGAGTGGCCTGCGCTGAGAGCTCATCAGCGACTCGTGCCTCGAAAGAAAAGAAGGGAACAAAACTCTGCTGGGAGACATTGGAGATGAAGCACAGCGGCGTTATGTAACGTGTCAGGACACAGAAACACGCCGTGGTTGTGGTGTTGTCGGGGAAACACTTGTTCCCCCCCGAGGATGATGGGATTATGTACAGTGCAGCTCCGGCTGGCAGCGGGGGAGGACTGATGGTGGACGCTGATGTTTACACCAGAACACAACAACATCAAGTCAGGACAGACTGACCTGTAAGACTGCAGAGTAAAAACCTGCAACTTTCTCATGGACATTTTCATCTCCAGAGTTTCTCATGTCAAGTTCAAAACTGAATGTCATATCAAACAAGAAAGATTAACTACAGCGATAAAAGAAACTGTCCCGGTGCCAATCAGATAAAAGCAGTAACTGCTCTGGAGCTTCTAATCATCGTCTTCATCAGCAGTTGCTGGTTTGTTGTGTGGTTGCCAAGACAACCATCAACATGCATCCGTCCCTGAGCGTGTTTAACAAGCTGTATCATGTTACATGTCTCATCCTAAATCTGCTGTAAATTTGACCTTTGACCTGGATTACTGCTGATGAGCATTAGTCATCCAGCTGCAGAACAAAGGACCAAAGTGGTGATTGCTGCGTATTTTAACCACAGACTGTCAATAAAGATGGAAGGAGCCTCCGCTCAGAGTGAGCTGCTTCACCGTCGCCATCTTGGCAGTTTCTGATTCCGAGCCTAACTCTTGGTTAATCGGAAAATGGATAAAGAGGTGGAGCAGAGACTTTGATGCATGCCAATTTGTGGCAAGCATACACTCACCCACCTGTCACTCAAAGCAGCTACGCCCTCAATTATGCAGAACTTTAAGGCAGAGCCAATCAGAAGAGAGGAGGCTCTGAGCCTCTCTTCTGACTGTTGTCTGAGTGATCCACTAGAAATATAGCAGATTTCACGTAAAATACTCACAGAACCCCAATGCTGCAAGGTTTGGATGGTGGGTCCAGGTGGGCGGGGCTTGGTGACTGCTTTGTTGTGACATCACAAAGTTCCAGAAGTCCTGACGGCTGGTTTTAAGGCTCAGTTTCTGAATACAGGCTGTGTGCATTTCTCTGTGGACTGAGGCTTTGATACTTTCACAGTATTAATATAGAAGCTAGACCTGATCTATAATCACACTACACATGAACAGAGACCTTTTTACTATATGGGACCTTTAAGATACAAATTCGTACCATTGACCAGCTGCAAACCCTCTCGCCAGTGTTTACCTTTGAGAGAACAGAGAGTCCAAAATGGAGGGAGCTCTCTTATAAGCTGTGTGGTACCATGGACAGTTTATACTGTAATAAACTGTTCCATAAAAGAGACAACTGCACATCTTGTGTAAATAAACTTGAATAAACAGTGTTAGCTTGTTGTCTGGCTTGTGACTCAACCAGCGAGGCCTGCAGTCAGTCAGTACTACACCAAGTTTCCAGCACCACTTTCTTTGCAACGATGCACAGATGAATCTTGCTGTGTGACTTTCAGAGTCTAAACAGGAGCTTTAGTTGGGAGCAACTTGAAAGCTCAGACCTCCACTATGGAAGCAGGTATTAAAGCCGACAACAACGGCGTAGATGGTCGTTATCTCTCCACTCCGGTGCTTTTTATTGGCAGGATTGTATCATGTGTGATGTGCATCGCTGCCCTCTTCTGTTCATCTCTTTATTTAAAGTTACTTTCTACATATTGTGGGTTATTCCTGATGCCAGCAGCGGTGCTGTCAGCATCTATTTATAAGAACGTGTTCTCATTTTGCAGCTAACTTTATCCGACATGCTGATATGAGCGTGTTCTTCGTGGACTTCATCAGAGAATGCCAGCTGCTGCCAGACGTAAATAATAATGTGATCTGCCATTGTTGGTGCTGCGTGTTGTCATGCAGCTGTTCCTATTAATCTGTGTTACTGCAGGTGAGAACCAGAGAGAATCCACCTCAGAGACAAACGCTGTTTCAGGAGAGCTGAACTTCACCTTGAGTGTGTCTGTGTTGTTTTAAAATGAATCATCCTAAAGATAACACTGCTTGTTAAAGGGCCTTTAATTAATGGCGCTTGCAATTATGATGCGACAGCTGGTGGAGGTGCGGATGTCGAGCACCAGATAGTGATAGTGTCAGTTGAACATATTTATATTTGTATAATAAGGAAACTGAAAGAAGCTGAAGATAAAATCTGATTCAGTCTCATTGATTTAAAAGAGAGAGTCATGACACCTGTGATGTGTAACGTACTCCTGGTTTTATTGTCTCCCTTTAATCTGTATGTGCTCTGCTTTGTTTTAACACATTAACACATCTGCTGCGGTTGCGGCCGCCTCAGATCTGACCCGATTTCCAGCTGGGTGTGTAAACAGTCTTGTAGGTCGTTCAAAACAATGTGACCTCCCTCTGTTATCAGGTTCTCAGGTGACCTGCCAGAATGCAGAGCCGTGTTGTTGTTGTTGTTATTTCTGCAGGTCAGGAGGTTAAATTTAGAGTCTGTCATCAGGAGGACGCGGGTCACACTTTCTCTGCGTGTTCGCTGTCTGTCTGTGTTGTGTTCAGGGAAAAATGAGCAGCTGCAGTTCCTCCAGCGGCCACTAGATGGGGAGAAGAGACTCAACTTCTCATGAGAAAGGCAGCAACTTGATTCAGACTGACATTCCCAACTATCGAATGGATTGCCATGAAATGTGGAGCAGACATTCTTGTTCCTCAGAGGATGAGTTCCAGTGACTCTGATGATTCTCTGACTTTTTTCTCTAGTGCCACCAGCAGGTCAAAGTTTTAACTTATTCAGTGAAATATCTCCACATCTAAAACATGAACAGGAACTGACATTCATGGATCCCACTAAACATATTGTAATAACATAAAAGTTTAATAAAACACAGAACAAACATATTTACAACTGTTAGAAATGTGAGAGTAGAAACTTATTCTTAATACTGATAACGTCATAAATTCTCAGACAGTAGCGAGGACATGACTTTGGCTTTTATTTTATTTCTAATTTCTCCTGTTTTACTCGTATATTTTCAGTTTTCTTTATCTTGGTAAATTCAGCATAACAATAATAATAATAATAATAATAATAACAATAATAATAATAATAATAATAACAATACTTCCTGCAGATATTTCACATTAAAAGTCTACCAGGAACTGGATGGATTATGCCCTTTGAGCCACTGAAAGGCTTTTAATGTGAAACATCTTTGCAAAAAGTGAGTTTTACTGACAGTAAATCAAAAGTGCTCGAAAATAAAATGGCAAAGTAGCGGAGACTGGAATTAATTATCGTTGAGTAGTTCTTAAGACGTGAGCGTTATTTCAGTATCGGCTTTTATTTGAGAATTTACAGTATATACATTTCCTGCTTTGGGTCATGTAATGGTCTGAACTTCACCTGGTCTGGTAGATTTCCTGAGTCACCTGACGCAGTGATGAAGTGACAATTATCAATGACTAACTGCAGATATTTTCTGGTTATTTTGTGCAACAGTCGGGACAATGATAATCTTTAGTTAATGCCCCTTTGAAACAATGTTAAAAAAAAAATCATTTACAGTCATACAGTCCAAATCAGGGCTTGTATTTATCAAACTGCTTGGACGTAATTCAATGGTAAAAAGTAAAAATTCAAAGATAATTGCAGTGCAGAAACAGAAGCGAACACACTTTCATGTTTTCATGTGACACATTAGCTGCTAGTTACATAAACCACAAAAGTAAAAAAAAATCAAAGTTGCTAATGTTTAAGACGCAGTTGATCGGAGGGAACCCGTCCCCTCACTCCTCCCTGCAGATGATTTTGGAGTACAGGTCGTTGTCTTTGAACAGCAGGTAGTCCTTCAGCCTGTTGGGCAGGTGGACGGACATGAGGCTGCTGCAGCTCAGGTGTTTCCGGATCACCACTCTGCTCAGGTGAGCCAGAGAGCGAGGGTTGCCTGGAACCACAGAGAACAGTGGTTTGTACCAAAGTGACACCAAGCATGTCTCCATGTTATTAACCAGAGAGCGAACTCACGTGTGGTCCTGTGGATGTGAGGCCACTCTTTGTGTTTCTCCAGGATCTTGGTCAGTTTGCCGCAGAGAGACACCTGACCAACGTACTCCAGGAGGATCGGCACGACTCGGCCCACCAGGTTCACCATCCAGGAGACGCTGACGAAGTCACAAAACTGGACAACAGAGGAGATTCGTGTGACACAGACAGGTAGTTAACACCTTTACGTTGAACTTCCACACTCAAATCACTGTTAAATTATTGTGGCTGTAATGAACACTGCAGCCTCTAGAGGTCACCAGCTGGACTTTGGACTTGATTATCATTCATTCATATATTTTCATCATATATCTGCTTATTATTTTAAAATGAAAAATTACCATCACAGTTTCCCAGATCTGAAAGTGACTTATTTAGATATCCTGCTTTGTCTGACCAACAATTCAAAGATATTTAAATCAGATTATTATGATGTAAGACAAAGGAAAGTTGTAAATCCTCGTTTTTAAGAAGCTGGAACCAACAAATTCTTGTTTATTTTCGTTTGATAAATGACTCAAAATACTTGTAGATCTTCTGCCGCCAAAGCCAATGTCAAACAACATCCACCAGGCTTAAGAGAAAAAAACTAAAAATCATAGTAAACAATCTGGATCTGCACCAAAATGTAATCGGTTCATTGTTGGACCATGACTCGTCCCTCCGCCAAGTTTGGTGCAAATTGGTTCAATACTTTTTGCGTAATCCTTCTGACAAATCAACAAACAAACCAGGTTTCATGCTGTGAAACTTACTAATTACTTCTTTGGTAAGAAAAGAACTCACAGCGACTTTGTCCTCCTGATGCTGTGAGTATTCAGACTCGCTCAGCTCGTCCCAGTCGTCGTCATGGTTACAACAGAAACACTTTTCGGCATTGTAGCCGTTGTTGAGCAGCAGCCTCATCATCACCTCGTCCTTCAGGCAGTACTGCAGCGCCGTGGGAAATACTGTGTCGTTCACCACCGTGAAGTAACAGTTCACATCTGCTCTGGCCGCCAGCAGCAGCTTCACTATCTCGTAGCGTCCCGACCGAACCGCCACCAGGAGGCAGCACAGCGGGTCCAGGTCGGGTTTGGCTCCCGCCTTCAGCAGTATCTCGGTACAGGTCGCGTCCCCATTGGAGACAGCGAAGTACAGCGGGCTTCTCCTCATGTCCCCGTAGTTGTCAGAGATGTGAGGGGCTAACAGCGCGTTCACGTCGAAGCCTTTCTGCAGCAGGAGCTCCAGGCAGTGAGCGTGGCCCCCGTCAGCAGCTGAGTGGACGGGGCTGTGGCCGGACAGCCGCAGAGCCCGCCGAGTGGTGATCGGGATGAAGATCCTCAACGCTCTGATGGAGAAAAAGATTATCCTAGAAAAAGTGCAAAACATTTGAAACCTTGGAGGCGAGGCTATAGATCACTCTCTGAACAAACAGATTCACCCCAAAAGTATTGATACTAACAAAACGATTTGTTTCACTATCAATGGGATTGATAGCAAAATTAAAAAGGTATTGCCGACCACTTCTGTCTGTCCAACAACACTTTCTAGACAAAAAATTTCCAGAGCTATGGAACCAAAGGATTTAAACTCAGGGACTCACCTGGGATCTGAAATCTGAGGAACCCTAAAGGTTGCTTTGTTCTTCCTGTGGCGTGACTCGATGTTTGAGTTGGATGTGTTAAATAAGGAGACTGAAACCTCCAGAACACCACAGTGTGTTAGATGGTTATTTGTTTCTACCTTATTAAGTAACGTTTCAGCAAGTAAAGCCTCGTTGTGTTGTTCATTCCCGAGTTTTCGGTCCCTCTTCTTCGAACTAGTCCCAAAGCCGACAACAGGCCACCGTGTTAACGGGCGTGTAACGTTGACGTACTCACAGGTAGTGTCCTTCGTACGCCGCTCGGTGGATGGGCAGCTGAGAGCTCAGGTTGTGGATGTTGGGGTTTGCTCCGTGCTGCAGCAGGATGTTGACACAGTCTGGATTCCCTGAACCCGCGGCATCATACAGGACGCTGTCGCCATTCGGCGCCTGAGCGTTTACGTCAGCACCTTAATGTGAAAGCAGAATAATTTGTCAGATTTTGACACTGAGTAGATCGCTTTTCGGCCGGGTGAACATCTTTTCCTCACCGCAATGAATCCCTCCAGCGTGTTCTGGGTCTGCCCCGGGTTTCCTACAGGTTGGACAGAACCACCAGAACCACCAGGAGGCCCTAGATACCCGAACTACCTCAACTGGCTCCTGTCAACATGAAGGAGCAGCCTCTCTCTAGCTCCTCACCTTATCATGTCCGAGCTCCTCACCTTATGTCTAAGGCTCAGCCCGATTTCAGTCACTCGTATCCTGCAATCTCATTCTTTCAGTCACCTAAGATCATGACCACGGGTGAGGATCAGAATGTCGATCGACTAGTAAATCAAAGCTTTGCCTTCCCGCTCAAAATGAAACAGTAAAATGCTGGACTTTTGGAGCCAGAGTTCTTGGGTACAAAACATAAATTGGACCTTTCATCCGTTGCTTAAGTTGCTGTGTTATCTTAAATAAAGTTGGAGAAAGTCTGCAGAAGAAATCTTTCGCTAAATCCGAAAGAAATGACCAACTCAGATGAACCATGAAGGATGTAATGCCAAGATCATGGCACATTCAAGATCTGATGGCCAGAAATGTCCTGATATTAAATCATAATCAATTATTTTGACAACAAGTGACCTCATGATTTGATCCATTGATAGCATAAAGATGCAGCTTTAAACATAGATGGTTTAATTAATAGTGTGTTTTCAACCCAGAACAATGGAACAATAAAAGAGATGTGAAATGGAAGTTGTGTGGTATTAGTGGTTCACCGTGTTTAATGAGGAGCTCCAGGACTTCAGCGTGGCTATATTCTGCAGCGATGCCCAGAGGAGTCACTCCGTACTGGTCAGTCTCCAAAACCTGACCTCCGTTCTGCAGCAGGAGCTCCACGACGTGGACGCATCCGGCCCTGGAGGCCTCGTGCATGGCCGTCCACTTCTTCAGGCACACCTGCTCCACCCGAGCTCCTCCAGCTATCAGACAGGAAGCCGTCTGAAGAGATCCGGCTCTGACCGCTGCAGGGAGGACACGAGAGGAGGAGGGACTGACGGTGAGGACGGACAAAACTTGTCTCGGGGCATCGCTACATGTCAGACGGCGTCCTGACCTAAAAGCAGAGGAGACTCGTTCTTGCTGTTGGTGGTGTGAGGAGAAGCTCCGTGGTCCAGCAGCATCTTCACATTTTCCACCAAACTGGATTTCACTGCTAAAGTCAGGAAGGTCTCACCCTCCAGAGTCTTTTCCTCCAGAGTCAGACGGAAAGACGCTGAAACACAAGTTACACTTTATTTCACTGAATTCAGCTCGAGAATCAACTTCTGCACCAGCACATACTGACTCATGGGATCATCTGTTAACACCAGCTGTTTAAAGCCTGATGGAAGAAGCTGAACATACATCATACACTGTATTAACTGTTCTGCATTCATCCTCTCATTTGGAGCATCCTGTTGACGTGAAGACAAAACAGCAAAAACACAAAAATAAGATAAAAACAGAATCATCTTCATTAAAATTGTAATAATTCCAGATTTAATACTTCAAATATCAAATATTTTCACATTGTTAGTATGAATTGATTGTAATGAATTATATTAGAATCATTTATGTTATAATTTAAGACATTATCAGTGTTAAAAATGTAATATTTCATACATATATTGTCTTGTATCTGTAAAAGTGAAGTGGTATAAAAAGATCTTTGTACAGCAGCTTATATTTTTAATGAATCTTTAAAAATAAATGTTAATGTAGTAGTAAAAGCAACAACAAACCAGTAAGAATCTCATTGTGCTGCCATCTAGTTTAATCATGTGAAGTAAAAGTTTGGACCTCTTACCCACCGTACAGCACCCTCTCCAGGACCGTGGCCAGAGGTTGCACCGCCGCCCTGTGCAGAGGATACCAGCCTCGCTCATCCACCGCACTGAAGGCTGCTGGGAAATCACAGAGCTCCTGCAGCGCCAACATGTCGCCTGCAGAAACAGTTTCAGGTCAGGAGTTTATCCTGTTTCTGAAAAGTAGGACCACATTTCCCATCAGCCACGGCGCCTCCTGAACTTTGTGTGTTCAGGGATGAATCTCGTTTACAGAGCACCAGCAGCAGTTTGATTTAAAGTCACCAGTGAAGATCAGCACCTTCTTCCTGTTTTGTGCCCAAACCTTGACTCAGATATGTTTGTGTTGTGTTAGTGTGTCCGCCGGTCTCATTACCTGAGCACAGAGAAGCATCATCTCTCACAAAGTGACAGATATTAATGAATATCTTTGAATATCTTTGCAGTTGTGATGTAAAAAAAATAAAAATAAAAATACCAACTGTATGTGACCTTCACCTCGTTCAATGGCGTCCACAAGCTTCAGAGCTTCACTCCTAAACGTACAAACGAGAAGATGAAGGTCAATTTTTTAGAAAAAACGCGTCATGTGATCAAGGTTTTGAGGATCTGGACTGTGACGCTGGTTCATGTTCGCACCTCCCTGATCCCGACAGGTGTTCCTTCTGACACGACTCCTGAATGATCATCTGAACGTCGCAGTCCAGGAGCTCGTCTTCATCCAGGTCGTCGGCTGCATCCATCCCTCTGACGTCACACAGGTGCAGTCACACAAAGTCACGACTTCAGTTCAGTAACAGCACAAGTCATAACATTAATTTCTGCCAAAAATAATCCTGATCTTTATATTCAAACTAAAAGAAATAATCTGTTACCTGCTAAATTAGCAGTTAAGAGACATGTTTGTTCTGTAGATGCAAAGGTTCTGTGTTGATCTTGGTTTCACTATTATAAAGTTTTACTTAAGTAAAAGTACAAAATGTTATATGTTATAATGAAAATGTTACTTGAGGAAAAATATGTAAGTATTGTCAGGAAAATCTACTTAAAGTACTAAAAGGTTCCCAATGCAGACAAGTGTCCTCTGTGACTATTATACTATTATATATTATATCATTAGATTGTTATTACTCATGTGTTAATGGAAAAGCATCATTTTAATGTTGCAGCTTTATTGAAAGTAATTTTAACTATTCTATATTGGACTGCAACTAATGATGTTAATGTTTTCATTATGGATTCCTGGGAGTCTTAATAAAACGAGAACAATCTATTTTCACTATAAATCCATCCATAAGTAACACAATGACAGAATCTGAAACTATTTTACATGAATTTCCCCGAGAGGATAGATAAAGTCTGTCTATCTGTTTTCTTCATGGGTTTCAAAAACTCTGTAATAAAACATCTGAAAGCAAAACTCCTGTCAGACGGGGTCCGTGGTCTAATCTGTCGGTTTAGGGGAACGTCCTTGACTTGAAGTTTGAGAACCACTGGTTTCATCTACAGCTAAGTGTAGTAACTGTAGCTTTTATCCAGTTGTAGTTGGGTGGAAGTATTAAGTATTTCCCTCTGAAATGTTGTGAAGAAATATAATAGAAAGTAGCAGAAAATGGAAAATGCTCAAGTAAAGTACAAATCCCTCAGACTTGTACTTCAGTGCTGCAGTGAACGAACTCTCCACCACTGACTGTTGGGAACGTTAACATTCAGGAATGAAGTGGGTCAGCAGCTGTCAGAGTAAACCGAGAGGCCGACACTAAAACCACCTCCTTTCTCTTTCCTGAGCTCAAACTTTTTTTCTTTTTTTGTTTTGTTATCAGCTCTACTTTCAGGACACTTTGACCCCTGACCTCGTTACTGTCGATCAGATATAACACCGGCAGCAGCTACACAGTCTTTGATTTTTAACATCACTCTGTTGAGGAGAATCTGAAAAATACACCTGTAACGTTATAAAAACCTAAATTTCATCTTTCTCACCTGGTAAATGTTGAATTCGCAGGACGAAGCAGCAGCAGCAGCAGCTCAGTGTTTGTGTCGTGGCTCAGCTGCCCCCCCCCCCACTCCACCTCTCAGGGCCCACCCCTGCTTACACACAAACACACACACACTCCACCACGCTATTTATAGGTGTCACCTGTTCCCGTGTATTTAACATGCAGGCCGCTCCACTGAGCCTAATGGAGTGTAATGTCACTCTGCACACATTCTCCAGCGCTAATGACAAGCAATAATGAGCCGGCCGCTCGTATGAATATTTATCACGTCATTAAGATTCATCAGACGAAAACACGGAGATCCGGCCACGTGCTGTCAGACGACAAGTCGATGATGAACCTGCTGAAGAAGAGAGTGAAGTGACTGGTGGCAGATTTACAGCTCTGACCTTTGACCTCTTCATTAGCATTTTGAGGGGTTTTTGAGAGCGTTGAACATGCGCCTCAAAATTAAGGGAATAAGTACATCACTGGTGGGAAATAACTTCACAGGACAGGTGACTGAAGCTTCACATTTAATACAGTTATTGCAGATGAGTCGTCAGATCACACGAGCGTTGAACCTCCATTGTCAGTATATGTACATGAGATGCATCAGGTGAACGATATTCAACAATCAATAAGGCGATCAGCACTGAAACTAAAAAGATTTACATTCATACATATGGAGACAAAAGTCTTAATTTTGTTTCTTGATACTTTCCAACTTCTCTAATGTTTTTCTGGACGAAGAAACTTTTAAAACGCATCACAAATGTAAAGTTATTTCATAACACAGTCTGTCCCTGTAGGTTTTAGCAACAGTTGCTCAAACATGATGAAATAGTACATTCGTCTGGGACTATTTTTAGCGGCGGATTAATCCACATTTGGTGCTTTAGTGCGTGTGTTCATGGTGACGCGTTTTTTAATAGTTTTTATGAAGAGTGGAGCTCTGCGGCTCAGTGTTGGTTTTGTCTTGTAATATGTAAAACGGTGATTTTAGAGTTCCTTGCATTAAATGTTGATATTTCAAAAACAATTGCAAGTGGAATTGGAATCGTTTTAATTGCTGTTAAATTGAGAATCGATTCAGAATCAATGAATATGAGGAAAAAACTGTAAAGTACACTTGACATGCAGTAGATGGGTTGAAATGTGATAAAAAAAAAGCACCTGTTATGTGTCTAATATTTACATTTTCTGTAAAAACAGATTCTGTCAGAATTCTCACAATCTATTATAAATTGTACTTTAAAAATATTGATATGTTTAAGAGAAATAGAGATTACAAAGATTTTAAAATTGTTACATCCCTTAAAAACAAGCAGGACTATCTTCACATGATGCGTTCAGGGTCCCGGCTGTAGAGGTCGAGCTCCTGGTACAGTATGAAGTTCTTCAGTCTGGGAGGGAACACATGCGAGTTCATGATTTCATGGTTGTTGAGTCTCTTCAGGGTCAAACGGCTCCTGATGTTCAGCCTGCAGAGGTGCCTGAGGGAGCGAGGACTGCCTGGAGATCAAGGTTCAGAAAAATCGTTATTACTTTATTAATTCATGCACAAGTGAGAGGATGAAACAGAATAACAGAGAATAGAACATCACGTCTTTGTGCAGAGACAAGGCTGAATCACTGCTAGAAGTAGTTCTGCTTGTTTTTCCGTCTGATTTTATAAAAGTGTGACGATTTAAACTCACTGAGGATTTCACATATATCGGGCCACTCTTTCTGTTTCTCCAGGATCAGTCTGAGTTTGGAGCAGATGTGGATGTGGTTGACGTAGTCCAGCAGAATCTGGACCACGCTCCCGGACAGATGCTTGAGGCAGCAGAGACTCATGAACTCGCAGAACTGAGAGCAGACGAACATTCAGAAGGTTATCTATTTATTCTTCTGTCAATGTGTATAAGAGCAGACTCATGAAATTTAACTTTTTGCACCTTACTCCACGATAAAAACATATTTTCCAGCATGCAGCTGTATCTACAGGCGAGACGGGGCTCCCACTTGTGGTCTCTGCTGCTACAGTGAAATTTAACCCCTTGTTTTTTGTATTTAGTTGCTTTCTCTGCTGAGATATTCATCTTGAATGATTTAAAAAAGTTCATCTTGCTGTTTAATGCAGTTTAAAATAGAATTAACATTAAAAGGATGAAAGCAATGTAGATATTAGCAAAAACTTAAATTATGATGGAACTGAACATTTTGGTTATAGTCCTTCAGATTTCAGTCCTGGTTGATCTGTGGTTACTGTGTGTATCAATGGTATTACCAGACGAGAACATTGATATCTTTATAGTAAGCTAAGCTAAGCTAACCAGCTGTTTGTTAGTTTTGCTAACGCTACATAGCCAGCGTTAACAGCTGTTTACTTACCAGTCTTGGCAAGAGTTTCAGCCATTGTGTTGCATTTACTTGACAAGAGGTTATAATACGTCCTCTGAGCAGCACTACTTCCTCAGGGCAGACTCGATGCTACACTGACTCGGTATCGGAAAGTGACGAGACTGTCTGACCGTGCCGGGACTAGCTGGTTAGCACGCTAACTTCAGTAGTAAAAAAAAGAAAGGGTAGAAATAGAAGCAAAACAAGAGGGTTGCTTTCCACCTCTGGAGACAGCTCTTGGTGAGTAACGGAATAAAGTTTGATGCTGAACTCACTACATTTCTTCTAGCGTGGTAAGTAAACAGCTGTTACCGCTAATGTTGGCTAGGTAGCGAAAGCAAATGAAAACACTCACTGGGATTTTTCCGTCCACATCATCCGCAGCATCGAAAGCTTTGTCATGGTGACAGTGGAAGCAACTCCCCACCTCGTAGCCGTTGTTGAGCAGCAGCCTCATCATCACCTCGTCCTTCAGGCAGTACTGCAGCGCTGTGGGAAACACCGTGTCGCTCACCACCGTGAAGTAACAGTTCACATCTGCTCTGGCCGCCAGCAGCAGCTTCACTATCTCATAACGCCCGGACCGGACCGCCACCAGGAGGCAGAGCAGCGGGTCCAGGTCTGTTTTCGCTCCGGCCTCCAGCAGTATTTTGGTGCAGACCTCGTCCCCGTTGGAGACAGCGAAGTACAAGGCGCTCCTCCTCATGTCCCGGTAGTTTTCAGAGTTTCTGGTGTTCATGCAGGAGTTGACGTCGAAGCCGCAGGCGAGGAGCAGCTGCAGGCAGCGGCTCTGACCTCCCTCCGCTGCAGAGTGCACTGGGCTCTGGCCTGCCTCCTTAATGGCCTTCTTATCGGTCAGAGGTATCAGCATCTTCAAAGCACTGTGGGGAAAGAAAACAAAGGGTGAGTCAGGCAGTAATCATCAACATTTGCAGATTGACTCACACGGATGATTTAAATCTGTACCAGCTTTTCGAGGTACATTCGGTTTTGGTGAATTTTGACATGTGTACCTGCGTTATTGACCAATAGCAAGCTGTCTTGACGGTGCTGACCTACGACAGAACTGAAAGTCCAAAATGGAGGAAGCTATCGTATCGGCTTTGTATCGCCATCCATTTTACTCTATTTTACCTCATATTCTGGATTGGATAAAAAAAAAGATGTATAAATTAAGTGGACATAACAAACTGGTGCTAGCATACTCCTGGCTTGCTAGCATGTTAGCCGTTAGCCCCACGAAGCATCTAGCATTGCCAATATCGTGGAGATCTGCAGATGAATTTTGCTTTATAACTTTTGGGTGCGACTAATGCTTTAACTCCCTACAGGCCACATTGTTCATTACAGCCCGTGATGTGACGGTGTTTGACTGAAGGAGCTTACTCATAGTGTCCGGCGTACGCTGCCTTGTGGATGGGCAGGTGTCCGGTGATGCTGGGGAGGTTGGGGTTGGCTCCGTTGTTCAGCAGCAGTTTAATACAGTCAGTGTTTCCTGATCCGGCCGCATCCAGCAGGACGCTTTCCCCGTTACAGGCCTGAGAGTTCACTCTGCTACCTGAGCAGGGAAGAGAGAGGAGATCGGACATTTGCACACCGAACAATGGAGACAGTTCTGTAGAGGGGAAGCTAATAAAGATTTGACAAATCCTTCACAGTGTCCCAACTAGTCCCAACCAGTACAAAGACCTTTGCCATTGAGTTCCACTTTCATGACTTAAAAAAGTTAGTCAGTTAAAACTGTCTTCAGACTGACCACAGTTCAGCAAAATCTCAGCGATGTGGAAGTGTCCGTGCTCTGCCGCCACGGCGAGTGGCGTCACTCCCGTCACGTCCTTCTGGTTTATCCGGCCACCGTTCCTGAGCAGGAGCATCAGGACGTCCACGCTGCCGACTTTGGCCACCTCGTGCATGGCCGTCCACCTCTTCCGGCAGACCTGCTCCACCCAGGCGCCGTGAGCCACCAGAGCAGATGTCATCTCGTAAGAGCCGGCCCTCACCGCTGCAAGGCGAGGAGGTTTGTTTTAATCAGCAGTGATTTTTACGGAGGCTGTGATAAACAACCAAGAGGAATATTTAGCTTTTCTACTCAAGGTGGGAAATGTAAAGTCTGTCCTGTTTGCACTTATCAATATTTTCATTTGAAATCAATCAAGCGACTATGTAGGCTGCATGAAATAGTGACGAACGTCCAGACAATTATCTTCAACTTCTAGCTCATAGTTTAGGTGTTTTGGAAAGTTTTGGAAAGTCCTCAGTCTAAATTAATGTGGTCTAAATTAATCTGTTAACACTTTTGTTTTCTGTACTGTAACGACCTTCAGTGGCTCATGGGACCATTAGTCCTCTCCATGATGAACCCCCCCGCTCTAAGGTATTTTACCCAGCAGCAGCGGCGACTCGTTCTTGCTGTTGGTGTTGTGAGGCGAGGCTCCGTGCACCAGCAGGCTCTTCACGTTCTCCACCAGTCCGGCTTTAACAGCCAGTGTCAGCGGTGTCTCTCCCCCCACGGCCGTCCTCTCCTCCAGGCTGAGCCCCTGAGCCGCCCCACTAACCCACACACACACAACACACACACACACACACACACGACAGCACACACACACACACACACACACACACACACACAACACACACACACACACAACACACACAGAGGAAGGGGCGTCAAACCGTGTTCATTGCTGGAGTTCACACAGGGCCGACAGCTGTGCTGACCCGGCAGGTGAGGCAGTAAGCTGCGGTGGACACCTCGCTGCTGGCTGACCTCCAGGATAAATGAGTGAGCAGCGACATCACAGGTTATTTTAGATCAAGAGGACTGTTGACATCAGATTTCAGGAGGAGGGCAGCGAGTATATTCTGCGGATTAATATTATTTCAGGCAGCCATTATTTTGATGATGCCACCGGTCCTGTCGTGTCAACCTTTACTTATTTATTGGTGTCACCTCCACTGGGTAAAGGTAGGAGGAGGTTATATTTTCACTCCTGTCTGACTGTTGCTGTGCCACTTAGCATCTGACCAACATAGCTTTGGTTTAGGGTCAGGATATACTCGATCAGAACTAGTTCATACTACGTGTTGTCTGACCACGTCAACAATCAGCTGCGGCTCAAGAGGTAAAACAGGTCGTCCACTAATCATAAGGGTTGGCGGTTCAGTCCCACGCGCCACATGTCAAAGTGTCCTTGACCAAGATGCTGAACCCCAAGTGGAGAGGCTTGTGTTTCTTTGTCCTTTGTAGGAAACACTGTATATAAGTGCAGTCCATTTACCATCAAAAGTGTTCATGAAGCCAGCTGCGACAGAGTAAAGGGAGACACGTTATCGTTTAAAAATCAGGATAATGGTGCAGTTTTTCCCCCAGGAAGACATCCATTGTGTTGCAATCACTTGTTCACATGAAAAGTGACAGAAATGATTGTGCTGAGAATGAAAAAAAAAAAGAAGAGCTTGAGAGGAGGAGAAGTTAATATCCTGGCCGCTGTGCAATTCACGCCGTGATTGAAAAGCTTATCAATCACAGAGTAAAGTGGATTTGAATGAACGTTTACGAAAGTTGCAGAAATTGCCGACATTGTGTGTGTGTGTGCGTGCGTGCGTGTGTGTGTGTGACAGGCAGAAAACGTATATTGTACTTGATCTGTAAGCTTGGCCTGTACGTTAAAGCTGCACGAATCAATTTTCGGATCAAATATTTGCGTGTGACGTTAAAGGCAGCTGTGAACCGCTGTGGAGTCTCATCAGCTGGTTCAGCCTCTTTTAGCTGCTGGTTTAGGTTTTACAGCACATTTACTGTCTGGTTCAAGTGTCGGTGTTTCCATCAGCAACTTCGTTCACTCGTTCTGCTGCCCCCTGCTGGTCGCCCTTTTGATTATCACAGTCTGTACTTTTAATACAAATGTTCACCATAGATCAATCATAGAATATAATAACTTCCTTTAAAACATACTGCAGCATTATTGTTCTGTTAAATATTAAATTTGTAGTAAGAATTGTTCATAAAATAAGTCTGTATTTATTTTTTGGTTCATTGACTTATAGCCTCAGGTGAGTGAACAGTCTGCAGGTGTCTCCACTGCTTGACGGACTGACCTCATGACCTCCTTCACCACTGGACTTGTGCTGCTGCATTAATTAAAGCACTGTTGCCATGAACTGAGGTTAATCAGTAACCCTCCATCTACAATCAAGAATGAACTGAGGCAGGTGTAGCACATTTTAAATATATTTGCACATTATTATATTTGTTCGACACTTATGACGGTGTCACCTTCATGAGATCATACACAGAGAGTATTTGTTTAGAAATGAATAAAATCTGATGTACTTACATCTCAGGACAGTCTCCAGAACCTCCAGGACCGGCTGGGATGCAGCTCGATGGAGGGGAAGCCAGCCGCGACTGTCCGACTCCCCGAAGGCGAATGTGTGACACAGCATCTCCCTGAGCACCAACACTTCACCTGGTTACCACGGGAACAAGACAACAGCAGCCCAGGTGTTTTTTGTTTTTTTTCAGGAAAGACAAGGAGAAAGAAACAGACACAAAGCAGGACTCACTGGAGCTGAGACGTGCTGGATAGTGTTCTTTACTTTTTTCTATCAACAGTCTCCCCCTTTCCCTTCTCCCATAACACATCTTTGTTCTGGCTCTGTTTATTTATCTCCCTCTCTCTGTCAGGCTGCCAGCCTCCTGATGCTTGGCAGTCCTCGCCTACAGCTGCTGACCGTGTGACTTTGGCTGCCGGCCTCAGAGGAGAGCCAACACACCAAAGCAAAGAGGGTCTCTGCGGTGATGGTGAAGGTATTTCCAGCGTGATGTCTGGCCTACCTTGCTCAATGGCAGCCAGGACTCTCAGGTTTTCATCCGTCACTGCTGCTAAACTAACATCCAGGAGCAGAGGAAACAGAGGACAGTCAACTGGGTTTTAATATTTGTGGGGTTTATTTTGAGGAAGATGGAGTTTGGATGTGGCTTCCATACCTGGCTGCAGATTTTAGAAAGGCATCCTGGCAGGAGTCTTGAATACTCAGCTGGATGATATAGTCATTGAGCTCCTCTTCACCATATTCTTCATAAGTGTTCATCACTTTGCAGGAAAGTAAATGATTCCAGTTAGTTCATAAACAGCTCGATGACAGTCCATATTTCCAAAATTCAAGACTTTAATTTTGAATTTCAAAGACCAAACCGGTGGTCATGCATTTTTCAGCACATTAACGAGAAATCATCTACTCTTAAAGTTAGATTAATTAATTTTTGGCCACTTGGGGGCAGCAGACAACACAACTTGTGTTAGCTAACATGTTAGCATGTTAGCTAACAGCAGCAGAAACAGAATTGTATTCTGATTTGATCTCCACCCACTAACTCTTGAAAACATCTCACTCTTTAGCTGCAAAATGTTCCACTTTCATTTTTGTCTTTTGTCTAAAATTAAGATTACCAGATTCAAACAAGCACTCTGCCATATATGTCATATTAACACCACATTAAGTTTACTGTTTATATTAAATGACAGTGTAATATCAATTACTTACTAAACTATTCACTAGAACTGAAAACAGTGTCATTCTGACATAATTGATGAAAATGTTCCTTCTTTTTTTTTTTTTTTTACAGATTTTCCAGCTCTGCTTCCAGCTGGGACACCAGGACGTACATGAGGGTGAACAAATCAACAGAAACAAATCAATAAAGATCATGGTGTTGAATCAACACAGAAAATAGAGACTGTGTTGAACTTGTCCACTTCCAATTCATGAATTCCAATTAAATCCTAGTGTAGCCCAGAGAGTATAGTCACAGCACAGCAGGTCAGCTGAGTGTGTAAATATGTGAAATTTGTCCACAGGCAAGCCGATAAGTCAAGAATACAGTTTGCAGTTATTAATAACTAATGAATTAACCTTTTCTTGGCTTTTAACTTTGCAGGAAACTCTGTTTTTCCAGTAATTAATAGCAAATTCCACAGAAACTAATCAGGTAATTGTTCCAGAATTACAGACTCTTAAGATAAAGCATTACCTAGTAAAAGTAATGCATGTTTGATTCACTAAAAACACACCAAGAAAACATCAATTACATGCCAGTGCAAAATAAATAAATAAAAAAAAAACACAGAATGATGAATGACAACAAAACAAACATTAGATTGCAGACCATGTTGTGTTCATGTTATTATGTCCACTGTTTGCAGACAGAAAAAAATGCACAAATCCTTGAGAACAAATTCACTTCAGCAGACACCCCCCCCCCCAGCCACAAAAATCCTGACTCTGCCGCCAGCATCCAGCCAGATCTTTTATCTAATAAATCAAATACCTGAATGTCTTTGCAGATAAACCCAAAAATTCTCACCTGTGAGGTATGTTAGCAGCACTCGCTGATGGGTTCAAACTTTGCTAACAGCTCAGAGAGTTTTTATATTTAGGTGTGTCCTCTTTTCAGATGCCTGGCAGTCCCGGCCGCTGAGACACAGCGAGGGGGCGTGTTGGACGACACCTGGCCTGCTGCTCTTAAATATAGCCATGTTACGTGTGCTATTGTGTGAGCTAAGCCAGGTCTTTGGCGTGTTTGGCGGGAATCTTGCATTCAAGATCCCATAAGCATCTGGGGCTTAGGCTGTGGACCCATGCAGCCAACGAGGTCACCGTCCATTGTTTCGGGGAAAGCAAAATCAATCGGGTCTATTTTTTCCTCCACTGCTGCTTTGTCTGAGAAATATGAGATGATGGTCCCATAAAATGCTGCAGGAAAACTGGGCAACCAGGTGACAGCAGGGGTCTCTGCCAGGCTCTAAATCTTCTTTTATGAGGAAACAGTTTTGTAATTGTTTCCTGGGACAATTTTTTTTAATGCTGTGGTCTTGTTTTCCGTTATTAGACTTATTGACTTTCAAAGACTTTCATCCGCTTGGTTCAAATTGTTTTTGACTTTGCTCTTGCCTGGTTATGTGTCTGTAATGCAATAGCATTGAAGGTATATATTATTATTCTGCATTCTTATTTGTCTTATTCCTCTTCCATATCGAAATCTCGTTGCGTAACTAGTCCTGCATGTTTTGTAACATACCATATTGCATCACATCCTTTTCCATTTTACTGTAAAACCACATGCACAACAACCACATGATCTTTAGACTCAATCAAGTAAGAATCATATGAGACCAGAGGGACCAAATCCCAAGTTAAAAATAGGACAAAAGAGTCCAGATGTGTTAACCAGTCGGCTCCCACTGTGTATGTAAGTGTCTGAATGTGATCCTGGAAAACTGCTAACATGACAAGCAGGCCACTGCTAAATGAACACCTGTGTGTGACAGGTTTACACAGGGGCCTGGTCCTCCTGCTCCGCTGCTGGTTGTGTGATCCCTGAGGATCCAGCAGATGTCCAGCAGCAGATTAGTTGAGCTTTACAGGGGCCGCCATGTCGTCTCCTCTGGCTCCCTGACTGAAATAGCAGCGTACAGCTCAACGTAAAGCTCCTATACTGTCAACATCCACAAAGAGAGGCTGTGAAATGACTAAAATAACACTGGTTCTCATTCTCACAGCCATCTTTTAAAGTTCTTCCATCTATCCTAACTTAAAAGGTGTATTTGTTCAAGTTGATTGTGGTAATGGAGAGAATTTTTCAAAATTTACATATTTTTTCGAACAAAAGTTCCCCCTTTTTTGTAACTGTTCCTCCATTACTTACATTCAAATCTCATTATGAGGGGATTTTTCCAATGACTGGTATGGACAGGAAGAATGGGTAGAGCAGGGGAAACCTGTTTTGACTTAAATACAATATGGGCAACTGATTATTTTAAGATACAGTAGACTTAGAAAATTGATAAAACATCTACAATACCATCCATATCATTAAAAGTTCAGAGGGTTCCAATCAACAGAAAAGTCTTAAAAGAAATTTCTAATAGGCTGTTGTTGCATTTACCCACAGATAACTGTACAAATTCTCTTTTTAACAACTGCTGTATATCTTCAGTGATGTTTAATTTATTGGAGAAGTCCTGTTGGGTATGATAGTGGAGCTAAATTACCAGAGCCCAACATGGCGACGGCCCTCACGAAGCCTGGAATGAAAACATTGCTCATAATTAGTACAATAACTATTAGTTCGACGGACTGTTTCTTTTATATAAACCATATGTATATATCTACCTATGTATTGTACAATATTATTTCATTTATTATCATTAATCAAGAGCCCTGACTGTAATACTGTAATCCTTTAAATTTAAACAACGAATTCAACTGATTATGAGAGTGACGTTTGTGGTTGCCGTAGCAACGTGTAAACTCTGCCGTTGCATGGAAACCAAGATAACGTTCGGAGCACAGTGTTAGCTGCCTTGAGCTAACTCAAAATCCCGCTAAATAAGTAAAATAAAACAGGAACGGGATTAAAGAAGAAGTTTAAACGACTGACGGTGGATCTGTTCCTCACCGTGTCACCGCCGTTCACGGTGACTTCGCGCTCTGGCAGGTTTAAAGCGCCTGTGTTCAGTTTCAGCTCAGGGGGAAAGCTAATAATTTAGCATTAGTCGGTTAGGCAGTTAAAACTGTCATGTCTGAGCAGAGAGAAGAAGAAGAGCAGGAGCTGACAGAAGAGGAGGAGGATGACAGGGCAACAAACCCACAACCAGGTGGAGGTACAGGTGCAGAGGAGCCGCCAGTGGATGACGGAGAGCCGGGAAGTGATGGAGAAGAAGTGCAGGCTGACGGGTCGACCCCAGGTGAGTCCGCTTTGAGCCCAGGTGAGGAAGGGTGAGAGACTAGACTGTCCAATGTGACCTCAGGTTAAGTCAGGCTGCTGGAAGCCCTGACAATGTTTTAATATTTAATCCTTAAGTGTAAATAATAATGAATAAATGCTTTTTAATTCAAATTTGAATTTAAAAAACTGGAAGAAAATAAAAATTTCAAAGAAACTCTTGCTTTAAAGAATGAGATGAGTTCAAAACAGTGAAGTGCAGCTTCCTCAACATTAATTACAGCTGCAGGCATCCTATAATGCATTTACTAAGAAATCAAAATGGCTACCTAAGTCAGGTTTGACAGGTGCACTTTTATTGACATTCATTGTCATTTCTTCTTATCTTTATGGTCTGTGCAGATTTGCTGGAGGAGGTGGAAGAAGCTGAAACTCAGGCTGATCTGCCTGATGACACCGAGCAGCTTGAAGAGTCTCAGACAGCAGAAAATGTGGTGAACTCAATAGAAACTGGTGAGAAAATCTCAAAGATCCTCAACGTAATGTATTATTATTAAGACAGTGTGATGAAAATATGAGTTATGGATGGTTTAATTTGGTTTTCTCTGTCAGAAAACAGTTTGAGAGAAAATCGGCTGATATTCATAGTTGTTTGTCAAGTGTTGTAGCACATCTAGTGTTTGGCAGGTGTAATTTTTTTTTTTTAATCAAAATTCATATGTGTTTATGTCCTACTCTTGTCTGGTGGACGAAGCTGAAACTCAGGCTGATCTCCCCGATGATACGAAGCAGCTCAATGAAAATGTTGGAAACTCGACAGCTACAGGTGAGTCTCTGATTAAATGCTTTTATAAAAATATGAACTGGACCCTTAAATAAATATTCAGAGTCTGATATTGCTCATCAACAAAATTTTCGATTGAACATCTAGTATTTCATATGGTTGGTTTTGATTTTACTGTATAATTTATGTGTAAATATGAACTTTAAATTAAAGACATACCATAACATATTCAACTAACTGTGCTCATTGTACTGTTTATTGATTTTGATATGGGCTCCAGAAATAGCTGTTGCTGCCAAGGTAACAAGTAACAGGGAGCCAAATAACAGTAAAGTATTATCTATGTGAAGAAAATAACTAAAATAAAAGGAAAACAAAAGAATATGTTACTTATACAGTGACAATAACAAGCTGTTATGCATAAAAACCGAGGGATGATACAAGAAAAAATGCAGTAAGATGTAGTGGTTATAAACACTCATCATCACACTGGTCCTGATGGGATTCATTCAGTTTATCTTCCAAATTAAATTCTGTTGATTTCTATATGATAGCAGTTCCGTTGTACATTGATCACTCAGTTTCATGTTAATTCCGGTTTGATATAAAACAGAGGCTCAATATAAACATGCTAAAACAAAAGAATAAAGATCATACTCAAGTAATCTAAACCTGGCAAATATCTGTGGATGAAGCGTAGGCAGTGAAGTACCTGACATGTGTTTGTGCTGTTTCTAGGTAACGTGCCACAGGATCTATACACCATGACGATCAATACCTTGTTAAAGCTCTAACACGTGGATGAACACGGTGGAGATCTATATGGAAAAACTCAGGCATTGTCTGAGAGTTTCAGTTGAAGTTTAATGAAAAATGAAAAAAGCACTGATTATAAAACTTTCAGAATGCCACTAAAATCACATTAGTCATAAAAAGTAATTAAAAAACAGGCTGTGATTAAATCCCATGAGGTAAAGAAATGACAGATTTCAGAGGTAAACCTACAGACTGTGACTGGATGTCTCTGTGATTGCAGTGAAGGTGGTGCTGGTGCCGGAGGGTCATGTTATGACGGTGGCGTTCGCCATCGGTCTCAGCATTCAGGAGCTGAAGTTTCACCTCGCCGCGGAGCTCAGAGTTCCTGCGGAGGTGCTGCAGATCTCTCTGGACGGTACGTCTGTTTCTCCACCAGCAAACACTGAGACATGTTTTTTTCCTGGCGGGTTTGAAGTGTTGTGAGGGTGATGACTAAATCGTGGTAACCATAAAACCCCAGCTTGACACTTGTGAGTCAAAACAAACGCAACCACAGACATTTAAGTAGAATATTAAATTTTGGTGTTGCCACCAAGACTCATGGTCCCAAACTTGTTTCTCTCATGCTCTCGCCTTGGAAGATGTGAATATCTAAAGTCACTGTCAGCTACCTGCTTTCCTGATGGGTAAATTGATTGAATTTTTTCAGCTGGTAACTATATCTTGGAAACTACTAATAAAAGGAGCCAAATTCACCAGTTTTTCATTTCTCATTTGTCCAAATCCCAACTAATATTCTACCTTACATGCCATTTTGGACACACATTATCAGACCACTTGGTTGTTTTTTTCTTCACATTTCTTCACACAACTTCACATTTTCCCCTGAGGGTTTTCACAGACTCACCAAAATCAGCTTCTCAGGGCTTCACTTTCTTTTGAAAAGTAATTTTGGGTTTGATTTTCACTGGGAAAAATTGCATTTTACTATATTTCCTTCACTGGTTCCACTTGCACTGTAAAACTCAACATCCAAATGTGACTAATTACCAGCATGTGGACTGTGACGTCCTTGAATGACTGGTCGATGTGTTGTTGTCTTTCAGGCAGGGTGGTGGAGGAGAGGCAGAGCCTGATGGAGCTTGGCGTCCGGCCTCACAGCTCCACCCGGCTGGAGATGAGCTCCACCGACCCGACTGCCCACCCACTCCGCCCCCTCCGTCCCCCAGAGCACGACGACATGCCGGACGTCATCACTGTCCGAGTCCAAACAGGTGAGAACACCCCGCCCACTGCACTGTCCCTTACATACTGAGTGTGTATTATGAATTATTGCCATTTCTTTTAATATTCAAATTAGGTTCTTAAACATTAAATTGATAGGTTTAGAAGAACTATTAATTTTTTATTTGAAGACACATTAATAAACTAACAATAAAAACATTTAAAAAAAAGAGATCATTTAAAATCACTTGTGTATTCAACGGTTGAATAAAAAATCAGGAAGTAGAATTATTGATTGCCAGATTTATTGATGCATTTAATGTAATGTTTTTAATGTAATGTGTTATTGAAATGCAAATGTATTTAATCAATTTATATGAATTGAATGTATAGATTATTATTAAACACTGTAAAAAGATTCTTTAGTAACAACCAAAATGACAAAAAAAGAGAAAAATAAAACTGAGTATAAACAAAATTTATATTGTTGTAAATTAGGAATATAAGAATTTTCAAATATTATATTGTGTTATTTTATTTTATAGAATAGAACAAAGCACAGATACTCTAGATGAAGTTATATATTTTTGAAAATCTAATCACTTTATGTTGAATTTTTGGACACAGAATGACAGAAACATTATTTACAGCCAACAAAATGACGACAAACTTCACACTTTGAATAAATTATAAGTCAGAAACACATTTTTAATAACCATCTCTCTGGCTTCCAGATGACGGAGTGTTCCAGGAGGTGGTGGTGGAGATCGAGCGGCCCCGCCAGCAGAAGGCCTTCAGGGGCGGCTACAGACACCGGCTGACGGGGGTGGAGTACCACCACGCTGCCGTCCAGACCTGGCCCAAGAGGAGACCTGACAGAGGAGTGGTCGTCGTCAGCCGTGACACGCAGGTACAGAACGGAGCTTCAGAGGGAAAAAAAAAAATCACGCCAACAGATTAATGATAGAAAGTAAGATCATGTCACATCAGCCGAAGAGACCAGAGCTGCAGTTTGAAGCCGGATGTGTTAAAGGTCACTCATTACTGCAAAACAGGGACAGAACATGACACTTTTGTGCAAATTAAAGGATTTAATTACAGAGAGAGAGGAGGAGTGTCAGTGAGACACAAGACGAATGGTCCCAGAAACACCTCTCTGCTCAGCCTCGGGTTACACTGATTTGTTTGATTCTGACTCTGCTTTAAGAATTTGAACAATATTCAAACCATACTGCACCGTTAACTGTGCAGTCTGTTGTTGATCCTGAGATCATTTTCCAAATCAGCCATCACTTTACTTCTTCTTTACTTGGTTGAACCACAACGTGACTGTGCTGCACTAACCAAGCGGTCATCAGGTCTCCATACTTTTCCCATCATTTTAAAATCCGGGGATATCTTGTTGATTTTAAAAACAGATGTATGAACAATCGTATGGTCAATGTCAGTCAAACAGGTCCTCTTAAAAGTTCACTTTCTTTGAGGTAGAAGAAAACACATGAGTCTGGACGTCTGCATTTCTTATAAAGTGAAAATGTGAAACCTTTGTTCATTTAATATGAAATGTAATTATAACATTTTTCAGCTGTAAACTGCTCTTTTAGTGAGAAATGTCCCTGTGCTGATTTTCTGTTTGTTGCCCACGAGTCACAGCATCATTAAGTTAATTAATTATTCAAATCAGCCTGACCTGGCGACAGGCGTCCTCATGAGTCCTGAGCTCCATCAGAGCTGTCAAAACATTTTTATTCACAGCAGAAGATGAGATAATTGTTCCAGCTCAAACATATGCGGTGAACCTTTAAAAGCACAATACAGAGGGAAAGGAACATACGTTAATAATATATGAAAGAAAAGCATCATAAACCTGAATAAATATAATTTCAAGGATTTATTTGCTGTTGTGGCGCGGCGTGAAATCCTGGGAATCTCAGATGGAGCGTGAAATGTTCCCAGAAGGTAATTGTTTTAAAATCACAGGAAATCCTTCGGCCTTAATCAGAAAGGAGTGTTTTTTTTTTTTCTGGTTGTGGTGAAGTTTGGTTTGAGACGTTGAGTTCTCTGTACGTGTGTGTATGTGTGTGTGTGTGTGTGTGTGTGTGTGTGTGTGTGTGTGTGTGTGTGTGTGTGTGTGCCTGTGTGCCTGTGTGCCTTCATCAGATGGAGGTAACATATGACTCACTCAGCTTCACCCTCCTGCAAGTATGTCACATAAATATGACACACACACACACATACACACACACACACACACACACACACACACAAGTCCTCTCTAATGAGATGATGGTGGTTGGCTCATTACAGATGTACATACATGAAGACACACGCCGCTGCAGAGAGACGTCACCCCCAGTAAAGGCTGTTTACACATCACAGAGCAGCAGCGTGTTGAACTCATGATCCTCCTTCTCTCTTGTTCCAGCATCATCTAATATGATCCACGGTCATTAAAGGAGTCGGGTCACATTTACATGTTTCCCTTCCATTTTTCTAATCATTTCCCCTGAAGTGCCTCCGTCAAACAGAACCACCAATGAAAAACAAGAAAATCTATCTATAATGGTGATGGCAGTCTGTGCAGTTTTCATTAATCAGCTGTGACAGCTCAGACATCTCTGACCGTTGGCTTTGTTGCTGTACAGTAGTTGCCTGGCTGGAGCTGCAGCTTTTGAAAAGTACATGTCTGTAAATTGTGTTTTTACTTTTAATGTGAGTTTCAGTGTTTCTCAGCCGACAAGACAAACAGGACTCTCTGGGATTGGGTTGCACCAACTGTTCTCAAATCCATCTGTTCGCTCATGCGGGGGAAAGGGAAGCAACATAAAAAAAAACCATGATGTTGTTGGTCCAACAAAGTTAGGTGGTTAGAAAAGGTGTGTACACAAACATGAAAGGCAAGCTGAGAGTGAAGCAGGGCTGGTGGCCGCTGAATTCAAACAGTTTTTTAGGCGAGCTGAAGATGAACAATGACGGGATTTCCAAGCTTTTCCAGCCTCGGTACCAGGAAGCATCCATGTGATTGGAGGGCCGGACCTGGCTCCAGCCGGGGATCACACATCCTGCTTAGCATCTACACAAACTTCTACGAGAGGGTTAGACACATGGTCGGGTGTAACACCATCCCTTAAGTTCTTAGTTACTGTTCACTGGTTAACTTAACTTAGCTAACTTATGCTGTGCCGCCAGGGCTTGAAACCCCGGCTAATTTGAGAATCAGGCAGGAAATCTGCTCGATTGGCTGATGGACAATCAGATGGATTTCTGGCAGGTCAGATATTTTGCTGTCAACATTAATGATGGCTCTTTGGGCTCCTGAATTTTGGAACCGCTGGATTATTTCATCGATAAATAAAACTCGGCCTCCCTCAGTGTGGAACGGCTTCATCAACCGGTACAAAACACGCCGCCACGGCTGCTCCTCCAGAATCAGGATGTGAGATGATTCAAATTTCAGTGACTTTTAAGATCAAATGTCAGACTCCACCTTCAGCCCAGCTCCCTGATTGGATGTTTCTTACAGCATTGCCCTCTGGGACTCGTAGTTGACTTCTCTTCTGAAGTTGTTCGGGACGATTTTTTGTTCCAGCTCAGTGTTTCTCATTTGTCCTGATGATTCAACCTGGAGGGGTTCATGTTCATCACAGTGGATGGTCAGTCGCCCTCCATGGGGAAATGAATGTAACTCTACATACTTACTCTTCCAGTTGTTAGTCACGTCAGTGGTGTTGGGATGTTATAAAGAGGCACTTACACAATAAGCGTAGCAGCTGAATGCATGTAAAATGTGTGTACCGTCCTTCTGGAGATGAGATTTAAAAAGGTCATTGATAATTAAATGTTTGAGTCTAAACAAATTTTTTTTCAGGCTCCTTGAACATCATCAATCTGTGTCACACACTTGGAAAATGTACAGTGTTATCCACCAGCTCATCTTTCCCGCAGTGAACCTCAATTAACAGCCTGAAGCCTGCGACCTCGGCCGTGGCCTCAAGATGCTCACAGCGGCCCTGCTCCCCTGCATCACACAGCTCATCCATATCTGCTCACAGCTGATGTGAGAGTCTGTCCGCAGGACGAGAAGCTCATCTTCCCTCAGGCACTATCACAAAATGTTATTTATATTTCCTCAGTTTTAGTCACTGAGAGTTTTTCCCCTCATTGGTTACCTGTATTAGATGCCTTTTAAAGTTGATTCTGTCTCAGATCCCTCAGTTGAAAGATGGATGGACGGAGATGAGACATCAGCTACGTTATCTGTGTTCTTTAAATTCAGTGTCTGTCTCTCTGTCAGACTGTCGAGCTGAAGTCTCAGACCCAGCAGTGTCCGGTCAACGTCTCCACCCAGATGACCGGGATCGGCTGCTACGTCTCCTGTATGAACGACAGGCTGGTCGCCCCCGGCAACTACATCACTGCTGAGGAGTACCACAACAGGAGGCTGAGAGCTGTGGGTGAACACTGAGTGTGAGCGTGTGTGATTATACTGCTTAATATGTTTTTATACATAATGTATGAAAAAACAAAAAGTCGTGTTAGTTGTCGTGGTTACATATGACCATTATTAGGAATTTCTACAGCCCATGTACAAAAGTGATTAATATTTATAATGTTAAATTTACATATCATATGTTTTCTACTTTAATTTAGGAATTGTTCCATGAAAAATTCCAATTTTATTATTTTAAATAGAATCAGAAAATAAAGCTGCTTTTCTTGGTTCTTTAAAAAAATGACAGTTTGAACATAAATTAGTAACTTTACATGAAAATTATTTCTCGTGTGAGGATGATTTCTCACCTTCATACTGACTGTAATGTGGATAAATACGAGTGTCTTCACAGTCTAATAACACTGTATATTTAACTGCTTCAAATCATCTTTTAAATCCAGGTTCAGACATTTTTTTAACATGTCATTAATTAATAATTTGAGGTGGTAAAATGATTAATTATTTGAGTCCTACAATATAAATCATGCAGCGATGGTACAGTACATGTACTATACATGCACAAAATGTAAATGCACACACAATAAATATCTATTCAACTTTCTGTCATATATATTTACAGTAATAGACACATAGAGTGCCATGTGCCATGATACAGTATATAAATAAAATAAAATAGAATAAATAGTAAATGAACAAATATTATTTTTACATGGATCTCCTGATGACCCCGACCCCCCCCCAGGTGATTTGTCTGCAGTCGTTTGCACGGCGCTGGCTCGCCCAGCAGGCGGTGGACCACCTGAGGAGGGAGCGGGACCGGCGGCTGGCGTGGCTGGAGCTGCAGGAGAGGAGGAGGAGGGAGGAGAAGGAGGAGCAGCTGAGAGACCGTCGCCAACGCTGGCTGAGCCCGCAGAGGAGGGAAGACTTCAATCTGCTGTACCACGCCCTGGAGAGTAGGCTGGAGGGGAGGGGCGGGTCTCACTTTGTTGGTCAGGTGTAAGTGATGTTGATGAAAAATGTTCAAACTGTGTGTTTCAGAGTGGAGGTGTGAAGAGGAGCAGCAGATCAATTCGTCCATGCGAGGAGCTGAGAGGAAAGCCGCGCTCTGTTTGCTGCTGCAGCAGGAGACTAAGCTCATCGCCGCCATCGGACGCCATCGCATCGCCGTCCAGAACAACAACTATGACAAAACCATCAGGAACTTCCTCGACAAGGTCAGAGGTCACTGAGATGTTTAACTGTATAAAATCTCAGAAATTAGTAACAGGTGAAGATGGAGGAGGGAGAGACGTGGTAGTAGCAGTAGTTGTTGTAGAAACAGTAGCAAAAGTATTAGGTGTGGTACTAAGAGTTCAGTAGCTGGTGCAGTTGTAGTTATTGCCTTCTAGTACTACTACAAGTTGTGGGAGTACTAGTATTGGTAAAAACTGCATGAATAGTAGTAGGACGAGTAGTAGTAACAGAAGTTGGAGCAATTATATCAGGAGAAATGGAGTAGAAATTAAAGTAGCAGTAAAAGCAACATTAGTGGCAGTAGTAGTAGTAGTAGTAGTAGTAGTACTTGTAGGAGTAATTGTAGTCATCATCAGTGTTTTCAGCAGTAGCGTCCATCATCAGTTGTACTAACAGTATCTTGGCGTGTTTCAGTCTGCGGCTCCTCATCGGTGGCGAGCGGCAGACGGTCGACTGCTGGAGATGGACAGTCAACACACTGTCAGAGCCAGAGAGCTGCGAGACCTGTACAACGACGTCAGCCTGCCCGATGTCGGCCAGGAGCAGAGACTGGACATCCTGATGACACTCAAACACACCGTCATGGTACCACACACACACACACACACACACAGACACACACACAGACAGCGTTACTCTGAAGTTGACCAGTCATTATCTGGAGTTGTGGATTAAATGTCATGACGGTGTGTAGTGGGTCCAGCTCTGGGACAAGAACCACATTTCCCAGAATGAGAAAAGAATGTGAACAGAAGTGCAGTTAAAAAGAAAAACGTTGAAAGAAAAACTTACAAATTCTACATGAAAACATATTTACATCCATAAGAAAGAAAACACTTCAGAGAATGAAGCAAAAATAGAAAATATTATACCAATAATGTTAACGGTACCCTTCAAAATAAAAGCTTTTGCTTAATACACAGCATTTCAAAGGAATTTATGATGAGTATCAGTGCTACAGATGGTATCATGACTGTCTGTATCCCTAATGTGCAGGAGCATGAGTGTCAGCTGACCCGGGACATCGTGGATTTGATTGACAGGGAAGTGGACCTGATGATGAGGGGGGTCAAGGCAGCCAGTCTGGAGGGGCTGAGGAAGAGGATCTCCACTCTGCTCCTGCAGTACATCAAAACACCAGCGTTTAACCCTGAGGTGGCCAAGCTGCTGAAGGTGAGCAGAAAGCCCTGCTGGTCTGAGATTATACTTTGGACACTTTTGGACATAAATAATCTTCCATATGATCTGAAATGTGTCCCAGGTTCCCCAGAATTCTTCCCAGCTGAAGAACGACATGTTCCTGTGCCGCAGCTGTCATCGTTACCTGCGCTCCGCCAACTTCAGCCCGGCCGCCAGCGCCCGTGTGAGCGGTCAGTGTCGGGACTGCGTCAGACTCGACAACATAGCTAGATCCCGCGATGACTTCACCTGCTACAAAAACATCCTGAGCAGGCTGAGAGCCGACGAGCAGCGGCTCAATGAGGACGCCAAGATCCCCTTCCTGCTGCAGGTGACCTGCTGCAAGGATTCAGACGATTGTGTGTTTCCTGCACAGTTTGCTGTGATGCTTTTATGGCTCAGACACCCACACTTGTGTCTTCTCAGGCGCAGGACGTGCGGTACCTGGTGGAGGTAGTCTGGGCGTCCCGTTCAGCCTTCCAGGCCAGCAGCGACCTGTACAACCTGGTGTTTGTCCGCTGGGAGCATAAGAGGGACTGGAGCCCCTGGAACTGCATCCTCCTGTCCAAAGAAGAGACGTCAGCTCACCTGGAGGTGCAAGACGTCCACAAGGTTTGTCCATGTAAACATTTACACTCACATCACATGTGGACTCATCTCTACCTGGTGTCATACCTAGATAATGATCAGATCACAGACTCATGTATTTATACCTTCAATTAATGAACTTTCGTATTATCTCGTCGTAGTAACTTTTTAACTATTGCTAAATATTGAATTGACACCTTAAATATATGCTCTTAGATTTTGGCTCAGCTCCCAATAATAAGAAATAAAAGCCTGTTTCTACTAGAGGAGGAATTCAGGAACTTTTTAAGGAACTCAGGAACTCTTTCTCACATTGGACCAGAAGAATCAGGAGCCATAGTTTCAGGCCATTGGGAAGCACTTTCATGGCACGATGAATTTTGAGTGTTAGTTTTCCTGTTAAAGTATAAGTCTGGTTTACTGCAACCTGGATTTTATTTTGGTAGTTTCGTCCTTTATTTGTAAGTTAATAGCTACGTTAATGTCTGAGGTCTGCGATGTTCAAAGAGAGTAAGAAAGTCAAGTGTTGAAAGGTCTGGTTTGTCTTTGAAAGGAAAGGTAGACGATGATGCCTACTTCCTGTGTTGGTCACTTTGTCTGGTGGTTTTTATTTTATTTATTGTTTGACTGGTCAAACAGTAAAAGCAGCTGGTGAAGTTTGTTTGACTTTGTGTGTGTGTGTGTGTGTGTGTGTGTGTGTGTGTGTGTGTGTGTGTGTGTGTGTGTCAGGCATACGAGGCGACATTCATCTGCAGGATCGAACACAAACACATGCTGGCTCGACGCCACTTCAGCCAGATCCCCGTCATGGCCGAGTACCTGGACTCTCAGCCGACTGCTACCCTGGGCAACCAGCTCGTCTCCAAGCCCATCACCATGACAGTTAAGCACGCCACCGACTCCACGTCGGACTCAGCTCGTTAGCTCGTGAAGAAACACCCTGTTGTCTTCTTCTGTTTCTTCTGTCACTTTCTAAAACATTTCTGTCTGAAATTCAAAATAAAAGTCTCTGTGGTTTCCTGTTTTTGTCTCATGTACATTCATTTCAGTTTGAGTGTTTGGAGATGCTGGACTCCAACAGTAAAATACCATTTACATATTGATAAAGCACCATTATAAATATTCAAGGAACATTGATGAAATCCACAATCAGAATATTTCCAGCTTGGCTGAAGTCCATCTACTGCTCCTTCTGGTATGTTCCAGTGAAAATAAATCTCTTGCGTTTTGATAATCTGAGGTATTAGCTTGGAGTCAAAGGTCACAAATAGAGTTAGCAACTGTTTAACGGCCCTCTCGGGACTTTAAGATAAGGAGTTAAAGAATACTAGACTTCAGGAGATTCATGTTCACTTTTCCTGTGTCTGTGAAGAAGAAAAGACAAATCACACTGCTCTGTTTTTTGTTTTATCCCGAGTTCATCTCTCCTGTGACGTCCAGCAGCAGTGAGGCCCGTTAAAGGAGGTTTTAATAGCAGTGATGTATGCAGATGCTTTCACACCCAGAGAGAGCAGCAAGGTAAGTTATATCACTCTTATTATCAGGAGGTAATTCTCACTCAACACACAATATTATTGTCTTAAAGGTCTCATGCATGTTCTCGACAAATATACATTTAGTTTAATTTACAGAATTTTCAATACATTTTTTAATTTGCTCTCATCTGATGTATTTTTTGCTGCTGATGATTTAAGCACAATACTGTGTTCCCTCACTGTCCTCACAGTCCAGTGGCTTCTGAATCCCTCAGGTGTAATTGTGTAATGCACCCAGGTATAATTTATCTGCGCTGAACTCACTGAACTTTCCGGTGAAACAAACTGATTCTTTTCTTTTACTACTATACTTTTAGTTTTTGACATTTTGAATTTTCTAAGCAAATATCACACGTTGTGATAAACTAAATTCTTATTGTCTTCTGTATTTATTTATTTTTGTTTATAGCTTGCGAATATTTGCATCTAGTGAAGACACTTAAAAACATTTAAATTTGGGCAAATACCACTAATTATACTATCATAAACTTTCTACAACTTGTACCTCTTTTTCAAGGTCCTAAAATTGGCATAAGAAAAAGAATGCCAAGTTTCTTTAAAATTTGAAAGTCTCTTAAAACAACTATCAATTTAAAAATCATACCCACTTTGGGAAAATATCACATATTGTTAATCTTATCTACAAATTACCCCTAATTCATCATAAACAGTAGGACAACAAGTTCACCAAGTTCATCAAGGTCCTGAATTCCTGGAGTTCCCCTGAAAAGGTTTTGAGGAAGCAAATCCTTTACATTTAACCAGTGAAACTCAAATATTAACACGTTTATATTGCCACAGAAGTGTAAACATAGATTAAAGTGTTAAATCCACTAATATTGCCCCTTTAAAGTGCCATAAATTAAAGGCTGTGTCACATTATCATCTCACGTTTGTGTTGGTGCAGTGATAACCGGCAATTAGTCTGACTAGTCTTGCTCAATAAAACTCCAGCAGATACGGACACATAACCTGCAACCTCCAACAGTTTGAGGCTCGAGTATCTGAAAAGAAGTTTCAACCTCACAGGTCAGTCATTATCTGTTGTAAAGTCTCTCAACTTTAACAACTGTCACTTTTCACATACAGCAGGTCTAGACCGTTCTCTTTATAATATTGATTACAGAGACCCACCATGAGCAAGCGCTGTGAGAAGGACGACACTGAGAGAATGACAGAAAGAAAAGAAATTCTGCAGAGGTTGTGCAAAGGATTGTGGAACTATCGCAGCATCGCCCTGATTGTCCTCACGCCGCTGCTGCTTCTTCCTCTTCTTCTCGTTGTCGGCACAAAGGTGAGTCTCCAGACCAAACAAGTGCAAAGTGCAACAACAATATTAGTAATAAAGCTGAAGTTTATGAATGAAAGTGAAGAGATGAAAGAACTTTACTGCTCTGAAAGAGAGAAATATGTTGTTAATATTTAGTTTTAATTACTTTGGTGACACTGAGTTCACCTAATCTGAGGTGTGGGAGGGGCTGGGTCCTCCTCCTCTGTTGTTAAAGCTGCAAGAATTAATCATTTTCACTGTAATGTGAAAGGTATCGTTGAGGGTGTCTCCAAATTAATTTTTTAGCTTCTATTAACTCCTTGCTTTGGTTTTGTGGCAGATTTACTTCACGGGTTAGCAAACAGGGTCTGGTAAATTCACTACACACTACTTGCCCAGCTCCAAGCAGATTTCAGTCCAACTACAAAGATTAAATTCTAAAGGAATTTCCAGAAAAATCTGCAAAATAAATGCACTTTGCATTTAGCTTTTACTGATACACCAACTTTTCTACCTGCCACTCAAGTGTTTGTGCACAAATTAAAAAACGAGTGCCTGGAAACACACTTGGATGAAGTTCAAGACTAGCTGGTAAAGAAACAGGAATATCTCACAGTCAAAGAGCTCAGGAACTGGTGGAGACCAAACCAGAGCTAACAGGAGGGTGATTATTGGACATTTATCGTCAGTTCCTTCATCAGTGTTCCAGATAATTGTGATGAAAACATATATAACGTCAAACAACATACAACAAGAGGGAAACCCATGGGAAAAGAAAGATTTAATAAATATAAACTGATATGTTACTATGACAGAGAGAAATTAGTGGATTTCCCAGTCAGTTTTCTTGAAGCAACATCTAGTGGACATAAGAGGAACTGCAGCTACAGATATGAGGACTGACTTCAACACTCAGCTGCGTGGCTGCTGATTGGTTGTCAAATTGATTAATGCACACACTATTGTTTTTCTTCCGTACAGTCTTATATTACACATAAATGCAGCGTTATATGTGTTTTGTTGCTGTAGGAGGCAGAATGTGCGTTTGTGTTGCTGCTGATGGCGACGTACTGGGTGACGGAGGTGATTCCTCTGTCCATGACCGCCATGCTCCCCGCCATCCTCTTCCCCATGTTTGGCATCATGAAGTCCTCAGGCGTGAGTCCATCTCTCTGGTAGCAGAGCAAATGAAAGCAGCTATAATCAATATTTTAAATAAGATGACAGAGCTAAAAGAGAGGGAATGCTTGACTTACATTTGCCAGGTTTAATTTTTTGTCCTTTATAATATGTCTCCAAATGAATGTTAAAGTTTCTCTATAACTGCTGGATATGGAAATGAGCTACTAACAAGTTCACTATAGCAACTGAAAAGTAGATGATATGTCAATGTTGTGTTCCCAACTTGTCTCTGCAGGTTCAAAGAAAAAGTTTCTAGTTGTAAAACGTTGGTAGTCTCAATCCCTCCTCATGATTTATTAAGATAATGAAGACGAAGAAATCAATGATGAGTCTGGCTGTATTGCTAACTACAAACTACTTGCTAACTACAATCAGCTTAAATGCTTGGCACCGTTATCCTGCTTCATCCTAACACACTTATTTTTCCTTTCATTATCTTGACAAATCAGTAGTTTAATGCATATTCCTTTAAAAAATAAAAAATAAATACCAGCAATGTAAGAAAATAGCTGATTCAGGCTGAGAGCAGAACTAACTGTAGCTAAAATGTTAGCTAACTTTGCTCGCTAGCCTCCAAACTTAAACTGCATAACCCTGCTAATAGCTTTAAACATGACGGATGAAAATGAAAAATTAAAATTAAAATGGCTGCTTCTAAGTGACTTGAATATTTACCACACATTTGCTCATTTATTTACTTGTCATTTTTATCTTTATTGTATTGTATTTTCCGAGAGTTTGATTTCAGTCACCGGGATAAAATTCAAACCATTGTTCTCCCTTAATTATTCTCTACTTGTACAATGTTACTGCCTTGTTTCTCCTCCAGGTGGCGAAGGAGTACTTTAAAGACTTCCACTTCTTACTGGTGGGCGTCATCTGCCTTGCCACGTCCATCGAGAAGTGGGGTCTCCACCGCAGAATCGCCCTGAGGCTCGTCACCATGGTGGGAGTCAACCCTGCGTGGTGAGCGCCACCTTTCTCTGCTATAGGAGTCAAATCTAAATTTCATGCAGATTACCATATGTGAACTAATAGTGTTGGGGAAANGCAGAATCGCCCTGAGGCTCGTCACCATGGTGGGAGTCAACCCTGCGTGGTGAGCGCCACCTTTCTCTGCTATAGGAATAATAAATCAAATCTAAATTTCATGCAGATTACCGTATGTGAACTAATAGTGTTGGGGAACGTTAACTGGGAAACATCAAGTGCTCATTACACATTACTCATTGAAAAAGTAATTTCACTAATTAACTTCTATTTGGAGTTTGTGGATGTTCCCGCTCTGACCTCCATGTCGTCGTCTCCAGGTTGATGTTGGGCTTCATGTCCGGCTGTGCCTTCCTCTCCATGTGGGTCCAAAACACCTCGGCCGTTATGATGGTGATGCCCATCGTGGAGGCTGTCCTCCAGCAGATCCTGAAAGCCGAGGAGGTGGGATGTGCCGGCGAAGACAACCCCAACCTACAGCTGGACGGTACCTGGGTTTACAGAATGTGTATAGACAAAAAACATATATAACTCAGATTGTTTGTACTGCCAGTATGACGACCGAGTGTTGAAAAGTGACCTTGAATGCCTCATCAGATTCATAATCTTGTTTACTAATCAGTTAATTACAGATTGAAGTCATAATTTCCCCAGTTTTAGACTAAACTTAATTTAGACAAAGTTCTTGTGCAGGTACTTTGTTTACATTTAACATTTGAGAACTTTGTCAACTTTATATGAAACAAGACTAAGTCAAAACCTCGTATACGGCTGGGCTGCATCATATTTGTATTCTGCCTAGTGTCAGCTGGTTTCAGCCCTTAACAGAGAGACATTAACCACAGTCTGTTATTTTTCCAGAAATTGAACAAAACATGAAAGAAACTGTGAGGTATGTGACAGATCGTTTATTTTNATATTTGTATTCTGCCTAGTGTCAGCTGGTTTCAGCCCTTAACAGAGAGACATTAACCACAGTCTGTTATTTTTCCAGAAATTGACGGCTGTATTGAAAACATGAAAGAAACTGTGAGGTATGTGACAGATCGTTCATTTGTAATGTTCACTGTTGAATATTGTTTAGATCTCTTCAGAAACACTGCTGTCCTGCTCTGTTGCCTTCACTGTCCCTCTGGATTCTGGGCGTTCTCTGGGTTCTTCCTGTGGTTATATCTGGTACACAGTAATACTATATTCCTGTTTCTCAGTGACAGGAAGCGTCCAGACGGTCCTGAAGAATCCTTCACTTGTGTTCAGATACAGACAGTGTCACAGCCTCCTGCAGCTCAGGTACAAACACCCACAGCATAGGTACAATCACACAGTTACTGTCATATTACTGTCGTACTACTACTGATACTACTGCCTTTATGAGTACTACTGTTGGTGCTACTGTTGGTGCTACTGTGAATTCTGCAAATACTGTTACTGCCAATAATACTAGTACTGTCACTAATGCTATTACTGCTACTGTCCCTGTTACTGCTACTACTGCTACTGCTGTTTCTGCTTCTGCTTCTAATACTGGTATTGTCACTAATGTCGCTAATGTTGCTACTGCTACTGCCATTTCTGCTGATTGTACTACTGCTACTATTAGTACTAGTACTGCTGCTATTACCATTAGTATCAAAGTTATTGTTGCGTTAATACTACTGCTAATAATGCTGGTACTACTGCTGCTGCTATGACTATAAATGTTAGCGCTACAATTGTTACTGCTAATACTGTTTATATCTTTACCACTACTGCTACTTCTGTTAGCGCTGTTACTGCTGCTAGTGCTACTGTTACTACCACTACTACTTGTACTGCCCCTGCCACTGTTGCTGTTATTTCTACTACTAGTATCTGCTACTACTAGTTACTGCTATTGCTATTATACTGCTACCACTGTTGCTGCTACTAATGATTCTACAATTGCTGTTATTACGGATATTCTGCTACTACTGCTACTGCTACCTTTCATAAAGTTGCTAGTACTACTAGCTAGAAGTAGTACAACTGCTATTAGCAGTAGCCCAATATTGCTGCTAAATCTGCTGCTGACTAATTCTTTATATTTACTCTTTTCTTGCCACTACTGACTGTATTACTACCACTACTATTTGTGTTAATAGTACACAGCGCTAATTTTTATTTTCATGGGTAATTTATCCCTCTGTGTTGTCTTGCAGGCTGCAGTGTGCCCGCCTGCGGCTCCCAGCAGGAGTAAACAGGACCTCATGGTGTGTAAAGCCATGTGCATCGGCATCGCCTACTCCTCCAACATCGGAGGCATCACCACGCTGCCGGGAACCTCGCCCAACCTCATCTTCTCCGAGTACCTCAACCAGTGAGTGGTCTGTGAATGAGAAAGAGAAAATGAAGAAAGGAATGACACAACAGCCTCAAACTCTGTCTTTACATTCAGGATTTACCCACAATGCAACTGCATTAACTTCGGGAACTGGCTCTTGCTGTGCCTGCCCATCAGTGTTATCATGCTGCTGCTGACATGGATGTGGCTGTACTGGCTCTTCATTGGCTCAGAGTGAGTCTCAGCACTTTCCTACCTTCTGTTTTTACATCAGTTCTTTTTTATTTCTTATGTTGTTATTTTTATTAACACATTATTATGAGTATTATCACCTTTTCAGAATCACTTCTGTGCAGTATTGTTGTGGAGATACAGTGCAAATCGTCCCTGATGTTACACTGGTTTGTGAGTGTGTGCATATTGTAGAAAACCTCTATGTGAATGGATGAATGTGGGTTGAATTTTAATAAGAATTTTAAATAAACCTTTGTAAGAATAAAATAACAAAGAGCCTGAATATGTGAGTCACTCAGTTTGGACTTGATAAACATTTGACATAATCTCCATGATACCGGCTTTCATTTCCACACAACCTGAGGCTGAGACATGAGTGTAACGCTAATGTTAGCATTAGCAGAGGGATGGTGTCAGACAGGTTAATGATGAGCGCCGCTTACCTTCGCACATGCTCAGTAATGTCTTCATTAGCTGCTCAGCGCCGTGTGCTCTCAGTGTGCTTTTAACCAATCACAGTCAATCATTTAGTTCACTGTGAGCATTTCCCTGCCACCCGTCAATAATATAATCTGTCTGTGTGCACTGGACACACACACACACACACACACACACACACACACACACACACACACACTTACACACTGTTTCATACACAGCTTCAGGTTCCTATGGCGATGTGGAGGAGAGCAGTCTGAGAGAGAGAAGGCAGCAAGAAAAGTGATAGAAGACGAGTACAAGTCACTGGGACCCATGAGGTGATCATTCATTCATTCATTCATTCATTCACTCATTTAGTCAATCAATAAATCAGTTCAGTTATTTATTCCGTCATTCCTTCATTCATTTACTCATTCATTTATTTATTCTATTATATTTTCATTCATTCATTTATTTATTAATTTATTCCGTTATGTGTTAATCAATTAATTAATTAATTAAATCATTTATTCATAATTCATTATTTATATTTTTCTTTATTCATTTACTCATTCATTCATGCATTCATAATCAGGCATTTATATGGTCGTCTATTTACCTACTCTTACATTCATTCATACGTTAATCCATCATGTCATGTTCATTCATTCATAAATTCAATCTGTCATATCTTCATTCAGTCATTTATTGTTTTCTGTTCCTTCATTCATGCATGCATTCATTTATTTATTCAGTGATATGTTACCACATTCATTCATACATTTATTCATAAATTTATTATATGTTCATTCACTCATTCCTTTGTTTTCTAATCCATTCATTGATGTGGTCAGGCAGTTATATGGTCATTCATCCATTTATTTACTCACACATTTAGTTATTCTGTCAGTTCGTATGTTCATTCACTCATTCATGCACGCATTCATGTCTTTATTCAGTTGTGTCCCAACAATAACTGAAAAGATACATTCATTCATGCATTCATTTATCTATTCGTTCATTCAATGTGACAGTCAATTAAGGGTCATACATTCATTCATAGACTAATTAAACTCTGGCAGTCAGATTCATTCCATAAGTCAGTTAAATGTTCATTCATTCATTTATTCATTCATTCATTCCTTCATTCCTTCCCTCCCTCCCTCCAGTTCTCAGGAGATCTTCACTGCGGTGGTTTTCCTGGTGATGGTGTTGTTGTGGTTGACCAGATCTCCAGGGTTCATGCCGGGCTGGGCTTCTCTCTTCCCTCAGTGAGTCACAGTCATTTCTTTATTTCGCTGTTAGTTTATTTTGACTCAGACGCACCGTGTCCTGCTGCCAGAGTCATCCACTGCTGAAGATAGTCCCCAACAAATTCACTGTTTCCGTTTGTGTAAATAAAATCTACAGTGGTGCTCTGCTTCAGGTAATTGCCTTTTTTTTTTTTTGTTAAGAAACTATATTTGTGAGCTGTTTTTTTTATAGATTTACGTATATTCAGTTCAGTGGCAATAAAACATGTTTCAGATGATTTTCTCCTGCTCTTGTGTTCAGTCACTTGGGCTTCATCACTGATGCCACCGTGGCTCTGCTGCTGGGTCTCCTCTTTTTCATCGTACCTGCCTACGGACCCTCCAGAAAATATGGTAACTACATGAAATAAAACCGTTCATAGAATAATAAGAATGTGAACAGCTGTGCCAGTTGATAACCTGGTTAAATCCTGTGTACTGCCATCTTCTGTCTTTATGTAAAGATGTGAGCAGGATATTGTTTTATCTCTCTCTCTCCATCAGAGGCCATGATCTCCTGGAGGGAGTTCCAGGCCTCGATGCCGTGGAAAGTGGCCCTGCTAGTCGGTGGAGGCTTCGCACTCGCTGAGGGCACAAAGGTAAGCTCTTTGACATTTCTGCTTTGTTAGATAGAGACAGTAGAGAGCGACAGGAAGTGCAGGGGAGCGAGAGGAGGGATGACATTCAGCTGTTGTAAGGACTCAGCCTTGTTTGTTTGTGGTGTGCGCTCCACCAGGTGAGCTACTGGGGCGCCCCCATGAAACGAAGACTTTATACGCCCACCACAGGTTCATGGTGTAGGACTAAGAGATTCACTGAGAGTTTAGATTTTTGCTCAAATTTGCCATTTATGATGAAAAACATATTGACATTCATGAAATTTCTACAACTTCCTGAAACAATATGTAAACTCTTTCAGAAGGAGCTTCCCCTCTGAATGCCTAAAGGAATATTTTTACATTCATGGGAGAAGATCAATACCTCCTTCACGTCTGTGCACTAAATGTAGCTGAAGCCAGCAGATGGCTAACTTAGCTTAGCACAAAGACCGGAAACATGGGGGAACAGCTAGCCTGGCACTGTTCCGAGATACTCACTAACGCACTATATCTTTGTTATGTTTGTTTAATCGGCATAAAGAATTGTGAGTCAAAAAAACCTTTGTGCTAGTTTAAAAACTTCACAAACATAATAAAGGACAGGATGCCATTGATAAAAAGGAAAGAAAATGGATTTGAGATCTAAAGACACTAACGGATAGGCCAGTCTAAAGTCTCACACTTTAAAGACAACAGTGAAGTTGTTATGTTAAAACCCAGACGCCCGAATGGCAAAGGCTGAGCCGCCTCTAATCTTTGGTACAGCTTATACTTGGCAAAGAATTCCTGTGACTCATTACAAATGAAAGGAGCTTTAATGTTACCTGCCTCTTTGAAGGCACCGAGACAGTTTTCAGTCTCTGCTCGCAACCACATCTCAGCATGACGATGTCTGTGCAACGCGATTTAGAACAGAAAGGAACTAAAAGCAGAACATTAGAAAGTAATCAGGGGGTATTGTCACTGTAGTGATTTGTATACAAAGGATCTGTTCACTGGAAAAACATAAAAACAAAAAAAAAAGAAGATTTTCTCACTTAACTCTGATGGTGTCTGGTCATTCATCATCTGTCACCCTCTGACACCCAGCTCCACCTGCCTCACGTCACTGAAAAGACACATTTAGAAACTGTGTACTGGAAATAGTTTCCAAGGGACTATTTTTTTGAAAATAGTTGACAGTCAATTCAGTGTATGTGTGTATGTGTGTGTGTGTGTGTGTGTGTGTGTGTGTGTGTGTGCGTGTCTGCAGGAATCAGGTCTGTCTTTGTGGGTGGCCGAGCTGCTGACACCTCTGGGTGATCTGCCTGTCTTGGCCACGATCACCGTTGCCTGCATCATCGTCACCACGGTAACAGAGGTCGCCAGCAACGTCGCCACCATCACCATCTTCCTCCCCATCCTCTCTCCTCTGGTATGTTCTCACGGTGACTGCACAAGACACTGTATGAACTGATGAAAGATGTTTTTTTCAGTCATGGTATGAAATTTTGAATGATTGAATGTATTTGTTCTCTAAGTAATTACACAGGTCGGCAAAAAAATGCATATGCCTCAAAACAGTATAGTAAAGATGCGCTTCTAACAATACACAACCTATTCAACATTTAAAGATAAATGTATCCACACTGTTTTCATGTGAATCCATCAAGTTGTTGCTCCTGGCTGCAGCTGTTCATTACGTTCACCCCTTTAAATGAAATGCAATGTCTTTTTTTTTTGGCATACATTTTTGACATTAATCTTGACCTTTGTTTTTCGAGAGGCCCTATAGACCGTGCAATGACAACAGTCTTTAAGTTCTTGCATCTTGCACTTTGTCAATCTGTGTCAGCTGGAAATTTGTGCATGAATGTGCAGGAATTACAGAATAATGTAATGTAGTTAAAATGTAAAATTAAATTAAATTCTTTAATTAAACAGGCAGTCTTATTGAGGTTTGGATCTCTTTTTCAAGAGAAATGTGATTTGTTTCTGTACAAAAATCCAATTTTTACCTTCAGTTTGCTTGATATCAGACAGTAGATCTGTTTAAACCAGCATCAAAAATGAACAGTTATTATAAAGCAGGAAGGTGGTAAATCAGCCAGAATTTATGTACTGTTCAAGTTAATATGGGTCATTGTGTTGTGCTGTATGAAAACATTGTTTTTTCTGTTCATCAAATGGCGTTTCATGTGTTTGAAATGCAGTACCTTGCAAACGCTCTGATACGATTCCATTCATTATGATGTAAGATAAAGTACAATCACGACTGAAACAGCATCACAATGGCGTGATCATATGAACCACTTATTATTGTCACTGTGCTAATTAACTGTTAAAAATACCACAATTTAATTTCCTAGAGAAGCTGAATTAGCTTCAGATATGCACTTACCTCTTAGGTAGATCTGTAATCAGTGTGGGTAAACTGCAACAGTAAATACCAATGGGACACATCAAAGAAATGCAAAACAAAGGTAAAACAAATAAAAATATGACACTGAAACTTTTTTGTAGAAAGTCAGTTATTCTACTCAGTGTGAGTTTTCATCGAAGGAGCAGATTCTTTATTCTTTATTCGGATCCCCATTAGCTTCCACTACAGCAGATAAAAGCTGAAACATCAATGTCACAAAAGGAGATCACGCCCACTTTCTTGAGCTGCAACTTCAGAGAGAGAGAGAGACAGACTGGAAGTTCAGTAACTCATTTTCATTTATCAATTTTATCATCCAGGAAACATTTTGAGGAGGCGGGATGATTTTTACATCCCTGCTGATCGACTCTCCCAAAGAGCAGTCAGTCGTCCTCGTAGGAAAGTCTTCCTGGAGGGAAACCCATGGAGACAAGCATCAAGCCTCTCTTGATGGTCTGGCAGCGTCTTCTTTACATCACCATAATTAACTTGTCATCATCCCATCATCACACAGGAGCTAGGATGTGCTGTATCAGGATGAAGCGTCACTGCTGGACCCTCTTCAGCTCAGGCCTCAAACAGGTTCATCATCTGTCCACTGAGTGACTCATCCAGCTGATTCACAGCTCTCACCACAGTCCCCTCATATGATGGAGGCCGGACACTGACCTCTGTCCAGTCCTTTGTGGGTGGAGCAGCGTTCAGGGATGAGATGCTTTGGACGTGATCTTCAGAGAGTGAGAGCTGCTCCACCTCAGTGTTTCTCTTCTTCCTCCTCCAGCTCTTTGATGAAGCCTTCAGCCTGTTTCTCTGTTGTTCTCTGCTTCTCTTTAATTGTCTTGATGAATTCAGCCTGATTTCTCTAAACAGACGCCTTCAGAGACACCGAACATCTGCTGTCTGTCTGTCTGCATCTTCATTACTGAGCTCCACTGAGCGTTTCATCTCTTGAATCTTCAGTCGTCTCTTCTGGATCATCTGCTGAATTTCAGCCTCTGTCTCCTTCTTCTTTCCTTCATATTCTTCTTTTAGAAAAACTTTGTTATGTTTCTTATGGTGTAAAACCATCCAGAGCATACAGACACACATCAAACAAACCAGGCAGGACTTCAGGGCCTTCACTTTGGTTCCGGTGCAAACATCACAGGGAACGTCTCCTGGTTTGGCAGCTTGTTGCTCTGAGCTGTTGCTGCTGGCTTTCTCTTGTATCCACATGGTGTGCTGACGGTTTTTTTTGTGATAACAGCAACTTTCTTGACCCAGTTTATAGCACCAGAGCACAATGGGCATGCTGGCTAACGTTTGCAAGCTAACTGACTGAGCTTGCTAACTTCTTCAGGGGTAACGATGGAAATAACTCCCAAGAATTTATCCTAATATCCCTGAAAAAGTTTTTTTGTTTGTATTTCATAAATTCCAAACCGGATGGGCAAACAGACGGACCAATGATGACTGTTGCTGTTGAGTGACAAAGCAGTTATACATGATCAGTATTTCAGTATTCAGATAGATATTTACGTTTGTGTGAATTGTCTCTCTTCAGGCTGAGGCCATCCACGTGAACCCGCTGTACGTCCTGATCCCCACCACCCTGTGCACGTCCTTCTCTTTCCTGCTGCCAGTGTCCAACCCGTCCAACGCCGTTGTGTTCGGCTACGGTCACATCAGCATCATGGACATGGTGAGTCCCTGTGGTACAAACACACAAACAGGTTTGTTAACAAAAAGCACATACCGTACATTCGAGTACATAAACTCAATATGAAATTGAAATCAAACTTAACAGCCGTGTCTGATCATCACTGCAGGTGAAGGCGGGGCTTGGTGTTAACGTGATTGGTGTCCTTGCCGTTCTGTTTGCCGTGGCGACGTGGGGAGGTCCGCTATTCTCTCTGGATACGTATCCTGACTGGGCGCCGGTCCTCCCCGGTTTTAACTCCACAACACCCTGACAATGGGTCCTCAGGTGTGGTTCTTAAAGTGAGGCTCTGGGACCTCCAGGGGCCTCCAGGGGCCTCTTCAAGTTATTGCTCTGTAGTGATTTTACTGCCCCATCTCCTGGAGCTGAGATGAAGACCAGAACGAAGACTTCTGCTGATAAACTGAAAACTCTTTAACGTGTTTGTACATATATTTATTATAGATAGTGATCGATGAACATCTTTTCTAACTACTGCTTGACAAAACACTAATTTGTGTGTTGTGATTCTATCGTTTGAAATGGTCAAAACCTGACGACTCAGTTCCCTATTTTTATTTATGTTTTTTGTATTGTATTGGATTTATTAGAGCTGTAACATTGGAAAACTTGTTTCTTAGTGAGTCTCTCTGTTTGTAAACTTTGAATGTAAATGAATAATGGAAAGCAAGTGGCAGCGATGTCCTAGACCTCGGCTCTCTCTGTACTCTGGTGCAGAATCATTACTGGGGTGTGGGGTCAGTATCTGCAGCAGAAGCAGCGAAGCAAAACCGAACAAACCTGGAAATATTGACACTGAACCAAACTGAAAATAAAACACCAGTAATTATAAACATGAAGCTGTGTGGTTACAGCATCACACACACATACACACACACACACACACCCAGTTGTGTGTCCAGATATTTGTTGCTTTTGTTGCTTTGTAAACATCTTCTGTATTTAAAGCTCTAATTGGACTGATGAGTGATAAAATACACCAGAGAAACACCGACCTCTAGTGGCCACAGCATCCATGAGTTACATCCTCTGAGCATGGTCTTCATATACACACACACACACACACACACACACACACACACACTACTACAGTACTAAATGTATTTCCATGTTGAAGTACCCTCCACCACTGGTTATAAATGTTCATTTTGAGTTGAAACTCTTTCACATGTGAGAGGTTGATTCAACTTTACGGTCATTTTGGAGGCTGTTATATCTGCAGCTGTTAAAACTAATTAACAAATGAATGAAATAAATATATAGTATCTGTTTATGATCAAATAACTTTGAGAAAAATACACACATACACACACAACCCGGTACATATAAGGGGCTTTTACAACAAAAGCTCAAAACAAATTAATTTAAAAATATAAAAATACAGTAAATTTAAAATTTGATGAATGAAAGACAGTGGGACAGCTGGTCTGTTCCTTTTTTCTTTTATACATACTCAATCTAATTTTCCCTCAATCAAATTCTACATTTTGTTTTCATAAAAATGTTCTCAATGTTTTCTATTTATGAGTTAATTTGCCCATAATTTCCTTTTAAATCATTTATGATGATAAAAACTGTCTTTATATTTTGTTTGTTAATAATAATAATAATAATAATTTTTTTTAAAGGTATATTTTTAAAGATGTTTTTACTAATGTTTTTCTGTTCCAGCTCACTCCTCAAGTTGCTTCACTTGCAAAGATCCTCTCTAAAGGCGATGTATCACAGAGTGGGTAAAAATGTCACCCTCCTGATTTGCAATAGGAGGCGTTTACCTTTCACTTTGCTTTTTCCAAGAAACCACGATCTTAATCATGGAGTAATATGTTGTGAGTCTCAGTTTTGCATGGGTGGAGCTTTTGTCATCAAGTGCCCATCCAGAGGGTGAAACCAAAGGGGACATAACAATCAGAAGGAAGCACCCAAACTATGATTTTCAAAAGATAATTCAAGCTTTATTCTCATGTATGAAATATATACCTTTCGATGAAATTCCTATACTGAGGCAGTCATAATGAATCCTAAATTTGAAATATACATTATAGAGTATATAAAAAATATCAATATATACCATAAGGAAGAAATATACTGTGACAAAACATGCGGTGTAGACTTATGTCTAAGAGTATTTGATATGAGTATGTGCAGTGTGCACAGCTGGGGAATCTTGAGCATGTGTGGGCCATTTGAATCCACCACTGACAATTCAATGGAGAGGTGACCAATGAGAGTGAATATGCTGTATAGCATTAAAATTGTGATGATTCAAAGTTCAACATTTTTGGGAAATAAGTTTATTAAAGTTACATGTGAAGATTGATACAGTTTCAATGTCTGTAGCATAAATATAAAGCTTTCTGCTAGCAGCCTGCTAGCTTAGCTTAGCTTAGCTTAATGTAGTTGAATATTTACACTTTGTAAGTATAAACAAAAAAGTATAAAGTATAAACAAAATATATAAGTTTTAACATGCTGGTCAGGTGGAGGTTTGTTACTGCTGCTCAGAGCCAAGCTAACTGTTTCCCCCTGTTTCCAGTCTTTGTGCTAAGCTAAGCTAACTGGCCTGTAGCTGTAGCTTTACTTCTACCCCACAGGTGAGAGTAGTGGTATCTTCCAACTCTCTGACAGACAGAAGCATATTTCCTGAAATGTCAAACTATTTTCTTTAAGGAATACAGTGAACTGAAAAAAACCAAAACATTATATTATTCCTGGCTTCTATCAGCTTGTGGTTATTTGCCATTTAAAATGTAAAGAAAACCTCGCAGTGTTCCATGACTCTGAAACACAGACGGAGTGAGACCTCTTCTCTGGAGTTCCCCTATCTCTGGTTGCAGCTACAGGTTGCTCACCTGTGTGCAGGAGCGCTCAGTCACAGGGGCGCGCGAGCCCCGTGCGGCAGCCAGCAAGGGCGGCGGGCGCGCGCTGCCATTCCAACACATTCATCCATGGTGCGACGGAACGAAGGCGGACAACCTCCAGATATTAACTATTAAAACTCCGCCCTCCCCCCCAACCCCCGCCCCCCCTCACCTCCCCTCCCCTCCCCACTCAAAAAAAAAAAACCCTACGGACCTCTCAGGTCGTGTCTCCAAACACACCACCTTCACGCGGCGGGGCAAGACTGTCGGTCGGTAAAGTGCAGCCGTTAAGGCCACGTCGACTAAAACAAACAAACTACAGCTTAAACAGTTGTTTCTGTCTTTCTCTCGCTCTGTCGGCGTGAACCGGAGTTTTAAACGACGCCGTGAATCATGCTGGACCCGTCCTCCAGCGAAGACACCGGCGGGGAGTCCGACCCAGAAGTTGTCCAGGAGGCTCCGAGGAAACCGGCTGCGTCCTCGGCGGGGAAACGGGGGAACAACAGCCGGGCGGGCGGCCAGCAGCGACAGGTCCCTGCACCTGGAGGCGCCCCCGGCAAAGGTGCGAAACAAAACAATGCTACAGGTGAAGAGGAGGAGGAGAGGAGGGAGCGGGAGCGGATTCAGAAGGAGGAAGAGGAGAGGAAAATTAAACTGCAGATTTATGTGTTCGTCCTGCGGTGCATAGCCTACCCGTTCAACGCCAAGCAGCCCACCGACATGGCCCGGCGGCAGCAAAAGGTGAGTCTGTGCCGCACACTGAAACAGCATGCACCTGTTGTCTGGTATGGAGGGACGCGCTGGCGAACTTCCATTGAAAATGTGTAAATTTAAAGCTGATTTTACTTACCTGTCTAAGTAAATAAAACAAACCCCAAACCTATGAGTCTTCTTAGAATCACAAGGAGCTGCAGATTAATTCGGCTTATATTTGATCCACCAATAATCACTTATTTCAATCAAACGGCTACTTTTTCTCCTGTTGCATCCACATCGCTGCCGTACAAAAACACTCCCTGGATGGTGATGGCCACCATTGTGATCCAACTGTAAAATCGGGAAATATTTCTTAAATTAGCGCCGCACAGTGTGTGACATGAATGCCGAATTCATCATAAGCTTGGCTTCTTTAAATGTGGGGTCTTTGAATCATTAGTGCTTTGTATTCATGTGTGGTTAGCCCAGTGTCAACCTTAAATTGATAGAAATCCAAAAGGAATCTGGCACAGTAGTGGAGACATTCAAGGGAACTGAGCGCAGTGTTTTTTTTTTAAATTTTTTTAGCAGATGCTGTTTGTTTTTTCTGTTTTTTTTTTTAAAACTGACCTGGAAAAGGATATTGCAAACAACCAGTAGCCTATGTAACATCAACATTAACACAGTCAAGCCAGGTTTCCATTCACGCTGCTCCCATTGAATCAGAAACTAGGTTAAAACACCATCTTTGTGAACCATCACCGTTAGAGAAAAATTTAAAAATCAATTAAAATCAATTTTAATTGTACCAATGTATTAAGCTCAATATAATTGCCCTATTGGTATGTACGTGTATGTACATGTACATAACAAGTACATGGCACTTGTTGGATCTTCCTCCTCTTATAAAATGCCCTCCAACATTAGTTATATATGCACGCACTCTATAACAACTGCATTGATTGAGCATTACTGCACTGTACATGAGGGTAGATCTATATGTTATGATAAACATGAGGCTGGCAGAGCTATTAGTTCAGTCTGAAGCTCTGTCTTTTTTTAAAATTACATTTTGGAGTATGTGCTCTGACAGTGTTGGACTGCAGGATGCATTGAAGTGCCGTCCTTGGCTGCAACACATTCAACAGCCATTCAGCCAATTTGGTGAATAGCTCTCCTCGTGTTTGCCTGTGTTACATCCAGATGAATGCGTCTCTGCTGTGCTGGAGGGCAGCCTGGACCTGCGAGCTCTCCGTAATAAAGCAAGCTGGGAAGCCAGTTAAGACTTGGAGAACCCCCCCCCATGTTCTCCCCATCCCGCTGGGGAAACTCGTTAATGAGTTGCCTCCTGGTTGGTTTAATTTCAATGTGCAGACGAGGCGTTTTCATTCAGCGCGTTGTGTGTTTGTGCGAGTGATGAACCTGCTTCTGACAGAAGGCGGACGTGGGAGTTTATTTGTGCACAAGTGTCAGTTCAGAATATTAAATCCATGTCACGTTAACGAGACAGGAACTTGAGAATCCGGCAGGAGAAATCAGAAGCTTCTTGATTTTCTTTTCTTTTCTTTTAATTCCCAACCGATGCTGGAAGTCCTGCTTCTCCCTGTGCTGATTCATAAATAAACACAGTGTGAATTCATTATTAAGTCTGGAGGATGTAACATCGATTTGTCGTCTCGCAGTGGAAGTAGCTCCTCATGTTGCTGTACTCCCTGGTGGGAGGCGGCAGTAGGCGTATCTGTATATGGTGGGTTGCCAGTTTGAATCCCTTGGCTCCTGCTCCGCAGACTGCTCTGGGTCACTGCGGGCACTGAGGAATCGATGAAACACTCGGGGTAAAGGTTCATTGGCGTGGAGTAGATTTATCTGCAGAAGAATAAGTCATGTTGAGCCCTCAGAGGGAAACCTGACGAAGTGTGAGCTGTTAATGGGAAGCAGATCTGAGAACAGCCAGTGTTTCCATTGGATTTCCACACTGTTGTGATGAAGATCTCTCTGATCTGGTTCACTGAGTCAGTATTTACACTGGTATCGACCTCAGGTGTTGGACAGATGTGACTGGTCCGCATCACATTTCTGTTGAGCACAAATTTTAATGTGTTGGTCGACGTTATCGGTGAAACCTGAGAGTGTTGTCAATGACGTTCACAGTTACACCTTTACTCCATAGTGACGTTTCTGGCTCTGATCTGGCTCTTTACTGGGTATCAAGAGTTTGATCTGACACTTACATCTACTTACATTTACCTTAATGACACAACGGTCCGGTCCACAATGGAGCTACCACCTGAAATTAAACTGTGACAAAAAATTAGTGCAATCACGCTCGGTATACATAGTAAAGTTAAGTATATACAGTCCACTCATTATAGTGCGGTATCGGCATAGGGTGAAGTCACAATTTTGAAGTTTAATCGAGTTACTTGTGTAATTAATGTTGATCAACCTGATACCAGCAACGTTTGTCGTTATAACCAGTGAAAGCTACGATCCGTGTCAAGCTGCTACCTGAAGGGTTTATACGTTGGTTTATTGGCTAATAAGTGTTTGAGAGGAGAGATGAAATATTCTATAACAGTGTTGTTAGCATCAGAGCTTAAAGATAACCTGGATGTGACATTTGATTGGTTTAATTTTAGCCAGGACCAGTCTGTTAAAAAATACGCCTGAATCGGCTTCAATACAGATACTTAGGAGGCGGAAGACATTTAGTTTTTCTGAAACAAACTTCGGGATATTTTCCTCGTTTTTTACTGGCGGGTTGTTTTTAGATGTTGCATGGATGAAGTGGATCATATTTTATAGCTTGATAAAGAAGAGTAGCTACGCAATGAGGATGATACTTCTTAATAATGACCTTTTGTTAACGGTGCTGACCAAAATGCGTCTGTGGCTTCACAGTTGACAGTTTGATAGAAGACAAGAGTGACTATATTTACATTGTGTACATTATATACACACATACATTAATCTGCACCTACATACATTTCAAATACTTTACAAAGTAGAGTTTTAACTTTCTCAGCCAGATTTTTGCCTCATATTTTGTGGCTGCCCCTTTTGTTCTGAATGAATATTTTCCAACCATCAAAGTAACCTGTGTCTTTGAGATAACACATGAGGGTTCTTCTTCAGTCAAACACTCTTTGCTCTTTTGTTGACAGCTGAGAAACGAGTAATATTCTTAGCTATAGCAGATCTGATGAAGTTGTAGTTTTTTTTACGTTCTTCTGTTCGCTGTGATGGAGAGCGGTGATTATGCTGAGCAGAAGGTTAACAGTGGAGACGGCTGGAAAAACTCAGTGCTCTCCATGACCCCTGAACACAACAGTAGAGACGAAGCTGGAGTGACGGTAAACGTTCAGGGTTGGGGTTGTAGAGCAGTGCTGTATCTGATCAGTTCTCCAGGTTGTCAGACTGAGCTGGAGTTCGTCTCCTTGTTGTTAGGGAGATGAAGTAATAGAAGACTAATAATAACACTTGAGGGGAACATTGCAGTTGTCTTGAATCCCGTCAGTTTCCTGCTGGTCGCTGTGGTTCTGGAGGTGGAGGTAATGATGCAAACTGATGCTTAGTGTCGGCCCACGCTCAAAACTCTGCCTTCAGTGTGTTCGCTGTGGGCATTCATGGTGCTCAGACCTCAGGGTTTCACCTCCCGGAAAACGCATTAATGATGACATTGGTTGTTTTTATGTGTTTGCTGAAAAACATGACAGGAAAAACATGTAATTATGAAAATGGATAAATTATATCTAGTAATTGTAATCCTGCTTTATCTCAAAAGGTTAGGATGTGCATGCTGTGTTCAGGTGAACGCACGTTTTCTTTACAGTTAATGATAAACAATTGAGAAAACGACCTGGAGCTGCTGATCACAGGTTGAGGAAACTCTAGGGACAACTGCTGATGAAGACTGTATGATACAACTGAAAGCTCCAGACTAGCTACTCAAATGGACCTTTTAAGCAAGATTGTTTCATCAGCTGTTTTCTCCAAGGTCAAGCCTGAACTTTAAACCTCAAATTCAACTGATCTTTGGGGGAATTTTCTACACACAAGGCTCTGAAGCTGATTCTTCATCACAGTTATAGCCGAAAACCTAAAGTCACATCCAGAGGCCACACTGATATGATATGTTGGGTAATTGGTTGTCGGTACCTACATTCAGTCTGGTTTTGTCGACATTGGAGGTAATAATCCTAAATATAATAACTTAAATATTTTTGGAAATATGTTTATGCAAGGGTTTGATGAGAATACTGATGCTTGATTCTTGTATCTGTTGATAAATATAAAAGTGGAAACCCTTCGTCTGACTCTGTCCACGTAACAAAGTCTGCCGACCGGCAGCTCCGATGAAGGGGAATCACAATAACCGATACTTCGGGACCAAGTCGATGCCGAAATTCTGGTATTATGGCATTTCCTACCGTAATTATTAACACGTTACTTCTCGTTTGTTTTATCCGCACAAAAAAACCAAAGTGTAAGAGTCACAATTTCATGGTCACAGCCAAGAAATAGTCAAGAAACCGACCAAACAGAAGGAGCCACCGAGTCAGATCCACCTCTCCTGGGAATTCAAGAATATTATTTCTAAAAAAAAATCACAATTGTAAGAAATGAATAAAATATTCACTGCTCTGGTATTCCTGAAATTTCTTTTGGAAACTTTTTCCAAACTGCTGGAGTCATGACATCATCGCAGCTTCATGTTGTGTCATGTTTCAAACATCGACAGGTCTGTTCTCAGAGGTCTGCTCAGCTCAGGGACCGATAGGAATCAGACCGACCGTCAACCTGACGCTTTGGAGGAAGTTCTGTCGAGAAACTGAGGCGGAGAAACCAGCCGTGCAACATGTAGTCTTTCCTTGTTTACATAGTTTGATCGGACTGAATGAGCTTTCGCAGCTTCCTGTCAGCTCGTTGCTCAAAGGATCTTGTACCTTGTCTTTGTTTCTTTGTGTTATGAGGAGAGATCTGTCTGTTTTTTAATGCTCAGCTTGTCTCGCTGAGAAAAGTCTCCTGAGTTGTATGAGATCCGG